CCCTGTTTTTGTTTCCTTCAAGAGCCTCGCTCAAGACACTACACCAGTTCAATTTGAAACATGTACTACACTTGTGCGTTTTTCTTGCTCTTCATCTTGTGTTTTCTCTTCCTCTTGTTAGACTGCGTCTTGGTAGCTTCGGACAGTACGGCCGATCAGGGGGTACTAATCGAAGCTTGAACGGCCCTGCGTCACTCACCGTGACACTGTCGTCTTTAGCGATAGGAACGGACACGGCAAATAGCACAGAGCCTCTCTTCGTCATTTTCCGTGTCTCCTCTGCGTCCAAAAACGCGTCGTAGCGGCGCTCCTTAGCCTCTGAAGACGGAGGCGCTGCAGCCGTTACCGTAACCGTAGACATAGGCGTAACCGACTCATGCGTCCGGAGGTGCGCGTCAATCTTCCTTTTGCAAATAGGATTCGCCCGGCGACCGTCAGCTCTGAGGCGCTCCTCCTCACTGCTAAGTAGCGGTTTCCGACATACGTTGCAAAACACGTTGATGGAATCTTTCTGCCCCAGGTTGTGGACCCTATCTGGAACAGCGGTTTTGCTCACCAGCCGCAGTGTTTGCGTTTGGAGGCAGTTTGGCGTTGTGGGCTATACAGCCTACTTCCAAATGCTTTGGAATGAGCCAACTCCCATAAAGAACCAATCCTTCGGCGGGTGTAGGCCTTAGTAGCGGTGGAGGAGGCGTCCGGCATCGTGAAAAAACGGCAATTGACTGCATCCGCCCCCCTCCCACTCGGAGGGTGATGGCGAATGGCGAGGGAGATAGTTTGCTATGGTTGGGACTTTCACTACTTGAGAAGCTAACAGTGCTTGCAATGTACTACAGTAACTACTACATGTCAAAAATTATAAATGAATCGAGTTTTCTGACGTACTTCAGTACTTCTGCATGTTTATTTCTTCCTGACTATGGCTTGTTCGACATCAACTTGTACCAAGCAAAATAATAACTCTGTTCACCAAGTCGCGCTGCGCTCCACGATGACGATCTGCAACGTGTGGAGATACCTCGTGCTTTATGTACTGAGACGCTGAAACTTCCAATAGAAATATCATCGCTTCCAGTGATCCTTTTATTAACTGTCATATCCCGATTTTCACCACGCCAGAACCGAGCTCGTATTGTCATTGCAGGCGAACTGTCGCCATTGCACTACAATTTGCAAGCACACAGGGATCACAAAGCAGCTCAACTTTGAGTTGATCTGTCCTGTGATCCTCGTGTGATGGTGAAAAGGGCGCCAACAAAATTCAGTTGGGATCTCAGCAAAAGACAAAACAGGGCTCCAGCAAAAACATAACGGGGCGCCGGCAAAATGTTTTCTCCCCTTTCTTCAGCAAGTTGTAAAAAAATTATAGTCCGTTACTCTAAATATAGTCTTTCAATTGCTCCAAAAAACAAACTCGGAGTGGACCAACAGCGGCGTACTGGAAGGTGAGGAGGGGCAGCTCCCGTTTCTCGTGTACTATACCTGTTCTGACACTGTCGCGCGGTGCATTATTTAGATGGGAATCTACTCGACATGCTTCATAGGTCCTCAGTCTTGGAATTGCGCATTTTAAAGTTTGTGAACGGCAGCAACAGTGAGAAGCCCGTGCACCTACAGTATATACTCATATATACTCACGCTTTATCTGCGTGTTACTCGGTAAATCTAACATACTTCATATGTCACAACCTGTTGCGCTTTGCTTATAGACATTTTCTGGGGAAGATCGGGGAAGGCGCGCACTGTTTTATCTAAAGAAACGATACGAAATCGCCACTTTGCCAAATGTTCAAGCTATTTCTGGTGCTTTTGCACTTTCACGCAGTCCAACTGGCTTGGGCTGCTACAACGCAGTATACAATGCTGCTGAGCGCTAGCTCAATGATTCCTTAAACCCCCGTCAAGTCACAAACTACTTTTAAAATTTGATTTTCTTCTTGCTTTCGCCTCACCTAGCATGTTATGGATTTAAAGACCAAGAATGTTACTCAAATTGCTTAGAAGCACATGCAAAAGTACCTATATCTTAAGTATTGCGTCAATTTTTTACCTTGACCTCCCGATGCCGGTGCTCCGCAGAATGCCTCGAAGGCTGTTAAGACAAACAGTCCGCAGTTATAGCTGTCTATTTGGACGCCCATATCCGATGCAAACGTCCGAATTCTGTATCGGGAGCCCTTGTTGGGGGGTGGGAGCAGTGGTATAATGCTAGTGGCAACTTTTTTACATCACTTTGATATGATGAAGCCATCGGATCGTACACCAGTACTGTTGCAGTGGCAAGCTGTACCATGATGCCACACCAGTGAACACCGTTGCAATTAAGTGGGATCAGGACCAATTCATCCGATAGTCCAAAACCAATTTGGCTAGGTCCTCAGCAGTAATCCCAACAGTCCCATTAAACACAACTCCAATGCTCTCCGTATTGATAGCCACAATGTCTGCTCGATTTCCAAAGTTTTTCGCCAGAAGTAAATTAACAGTTCCGTCACTAAGCGAACCATTTCCAGATACGTCAATGTACTCCATCTGTAAAGTAAAAAACAATATTTGCGCTCATCAGTTTCTTGATGGTTTAGCAATATTAAGATGATCGGTGAGTATCTTACCTTGAGTGACGACAGGGGGAGGCTTTTCAAGCGCTCCTCGACACCAGTATCTCTCGTTACCTTGAAGTGAGGGGAGACGACGATAGAGAAGTCGATACCTTGGATCCATAAAAGCGCCTTCTTGATATCTTTGACAGCCGACATGGCAGTGTGCCACTTCTTCATGATGTTGACGGTCGTCGTGGACAATGTTCCAACGCCCTCTATTTTCAGTGCGATATCCTTTTCAGCTAGACTTTTAGTTTTTCCTTGGAGCGAGGTGACCTTTTGAGAGCAGCGCCTAATAATATCCCTTGGTAGGATCTTGCTAATTTTATCAGGGAATACCTCACATGGATTGTTTGTTGTAGCGTAACTTGAAGGGGAATGAAAAATCTGCCATCTCCAATATCTGCCTTCCGTCCACTGCTCTTCAAAATATGTTGCAAATGCACTTAGACATGGCTCAGACCTCCAACTCGAAATTACTCTATCCTTCACTGCGCAATACTCAGTGTAACTTGTCGCGTAATGCATAGCCATTATACCTGTGAAAACAGCGACCCCTGGCCCAGTTTCGAGATGCCTTGTTCTTTTGTGAACGTTGTAAAGTACGTGGAAAAAGCACATCAAATATTTGCTGTCACTGAATGCAGCTACGGCCCGAAGTGCATTAAATTGAGCGTCTTCCGCGTCGCCTAAGATAACATCAACCCGAAGGGTGGTCTGAAATAATTTTTTATACACTCTGGCGACGCTGTCAAAGGCCATTTCGTACTCTCTATGGGTTCGAGCACTGACGATCACAATTGCGGCAAGGTGATAAACCCTTGACCGATCCGTGAATCCACACGAGACAACAGGATAACCTAGGTAGCTCAGTTTAAAGGTCGCGTCAGTGTGAACAAGCGAAAATGTTCGCTTCCGTGAAGCTGCTTTACTTTTGTCAGCAAATTGGCTGTTGTTACACCCAAAACGAACGGGTCTTCTTCACTGCCCTTCCCGATCCGTGGATATCCATCAACACCATCTACAAAATAGAAATGCCTTGTCACAGTCGATGCCTTCAAAATAAGGATACTCTTTTGTCAGTTTCTTCACGGCTTCCCGTGTATTCCGAGATAAGTTTTTCTTTCGGAGTCTCTTTACACAGTCTGACACCTGCTGCCGCGATGGTAACCCCAGTGGAGGTGGTGCAACATCAGTTGTACGACGAAGGTTACTCCAAATATCGCGTGGTCGCACTCCGCATGAATCCAGTCTAGTAATCTATTCTTTCACCTCATCTGTTATCGGTATACGATGTTGTCCAGCGCATTGTTCCTCCCCCCTAAAGTGTTTTTTGTCGTTGCAGTAGACACGCCACGCGGGTCTAGATGTACATTCCCAGTACTTCCACTGCACACCACACTGCATACCTCCATTCATATCTTCCTTGCTTGCACATGTCGGGCTGATACACTCCAGTCGTCTTTCAATCATAGCGTGGTCGGCGTTGCATATCTTACAGTCCATCTCACGCTTTACGTATGCACCGGAGCAGCAGAAATCTGTAGCTCGCAGCTTGACAAAGTCTGCGCTCGTTGCATGTTCCGCCAATAGTGCCCAGGAATGACGTGGCATCCTTCGGTTTCGCGCTCGGTACTAGTAGGATAAGCACAGGTGCCAATGAGGTGAATGCACGGCGTGCCGGGGGGTCAACTGGAGTAAAAACAGTTTATGGCGAGCAACTGTAGAACTGGTTGTAACACGACTGCGCCCGCTCCAACCAATCAAGCAAAGATGCACACTGCTGATGCGGTCTACTCGACCGGTCGAGTTATTGTGCATGTGGTCGAGTTAATTTGCAAGCAGCTGATGCTGGTTTACTCGACCGGTCGAGTTATTGTGCATGTGGTCGAGTTAACCTGCAAGCAGCTGATGCTGGTTTACTCAACCGGTCGAGTTCTGTATTGTGACTTGGAATTGCCATTTGATAAAAGTACGGTACATCGAAGCTTTGATGCGTACACATCTTTTTGTTAGTGCTGTTTTGCAAATCTTTTGCTGGCGCCCCAAAGTGAAGAGATTTGTTTGCTGAAGCCGTTTTGATTTTGCTGGCACCCCATCTTCTTTTGTTTCAGATTATAATAGCGCCGTATTCGTCTCTCATTGTCTAGTCGTCCTCTTGCAAGAAGCAAGGCGGGTTCGTGGCGACATATGTTCTCAGCAGCATATGTTCCACCCTTGGCAATGGCTGCTTATCGACTGGCGGGCCGCCAGTGGCGGCACCAATTGCACGGCTTGCTTGTCTGTTTGTGCACAACAGTGGATTCCGCTCTATGCCCGGATTCTTCATCCATGCCGTCCTGCGGCTCTTATCACAGCCGATCCTTTTCCGCTACTGTACCTCATTCGACAATTTGCCTTGCTCTCAGCAAGGAGATATCGGTGCACAAACTTTCTCTCGCTTCATACTAACATGAAGCTTTACGGCATGTTCCTCATGGCTGGGGCCATGGTCAGCGCCGTCTCAGCCGGCGCCGGCAAGATCTGCGATATGGATCCTGTCGTGACTCCTGCTCCAGCGACGCCGGTGACCGACGCCCCGGTCCCGCAGACTGACGAGCCGGCCACACCGGCTACGGTAGCTCCGGTCACTGAAGCTCCCGTGACGCAGGTCGACACTCCTCAACAGCAGGGCAGCGAGGTGGCCGGTGAAGCCAGCGCTAATGGCTCGGGCGATGCCACTCAGCAGACTACGCAGCAATCGACCATCTCTGGCGGTGAGCAGTCGACGGCCGGCACGGTCTCGAGCTCCTACTCGTACACGGGCGTGAACTGCGGCGGCCCCGGCACATATGAGCAGGTGACGGACATCGCGTCGTGCACCAAGACGCCGGTGACCACGTCCAACCCTGTGTCGCCTCTTGACTCGGGAGTCACTCTTGCTCTTCGTGGTCCCATGACGATCTCCGGCATCGGCGTGTTCATCAACACCAACGGCACATGGGCCAAGGTCTCGTCCTACGAGAACGGCGGTGCCGCCACCAACATGGTGTTCCTTAATAACGAGAACATTGATTACACCGGTGGAGGCTCACCCGAAGGATTCTGCGAGGCCGACGGCACGGGTGTCGCCAAGCAGTCCACCCCTTTCAGCGGCACGCTAGCTGCGGCCTCAAACCCGGGTGGTGGCTCCATCGTCGCTTCTGAGGCCACCGGTGCTGAGGTGCACATCATGACGGAGAACAAGTGTGGTGTTGACGTCGAGTGCGAGGGCGCGTATGACAAGGATGGCACGGCTTATCAGGGATGGACTGGCGGCAAGAAGATCTTCGTCTTCAAGGTGTCTATGGCGGACGGTGGCGCCCCTAACGTGCCTGCCGCCTGGCTCCTGCCAGACCAGGTGACTCACTCCGGTCAGTACGGCTGCAACTGCCGTGGCAAGGGTCCTGCTGGTGGCTGCGGTGAGCTTGATATTGTTGAAGTGCTCGAGAAGGACACGAGCTACGTGGCAACGCACTTCTACTTCTACGAAGGCAAGTACAACCCGGGCAACGACCAATTCGCCAAGCGCCCCACGGACGGTCCGGCCACCTACGTGACAATCATTGACGAGGACTACGGTGTTAAGGTCATCCAGATCGGCGCCGACGACTTTGACTTCAGCTGTGGCAGCATCACCAACGACGTTGTCTCGCAGTGGGAGGCGGCTGAGTAAACCTGTTCAAAGTGTTTTTTTTTTGTCTATAGCTTGCAAGCATTTCCCGGCCGATGGATAACAGGGATTTTTGATCACCAAAACGTGTCACTTTGCCATTACACTGTATTTTCAGTTTTTGTTGCTTGATGGCAACTACTTGTATTTCATTTTTTGTTCCTTTCCACTTTACATGACTGAGGTGAAATCAATGACGACTTTTGAGAGCTGAAGTTTGTGTTGTGTATATTGCACGCCAGCCATGTCCAAGAGCCGACGTGATGCCACGAACTTCCAGCTACACCAAATCAACATAACAACTTAGAGCCCTTACAGACACCAGACGAAGCTGTGTCCCTAACGTACTCGCTTTTGTACTTGTCGGAAAAGTAAACGACGCGTGCGATGCCACTCTGAGCACAGCAACATGAAGGCAATTAATGGCAATTTGTTGCAATATTGTAATATCCTTCAGAAATAAATACCTGAATGATGAGCTTGGCACATTCGTTGCAAGGGAAGAGCGCCACGTAAATCTGCGTCAAACAGCAACTGTCAAAGTAAGCCAAAGAAAGCTGTCCAACAAATTTTCGTACTGAGCATCCTTTGACGTCGGTGGAGTTCTTGTTCAGTATGGCATTCATCTCTGCGTGACAAACATACTAAGCACAAAGCAAAATTAGCATTGCAAAGTCACGTGTTGGAGGCTGCGTTTCCTTACTGGGTACTTCGTATCGAGTGGCGAGTTAGTTGCAGTCTCACGTGCCCACGGCAGCTCGTCATCACCGCAGCCATTTGGGAATCCGTTGTAGCCGATACCCACGATCTTCCGTTCTGGATTCACAATGCTGGCATAATGAATAGCAACACGTGAGAAACCCGAAAAGATTAACCCCCGTTCGTCATGCAGTGCGTACCATGCTCCGACTTGAGTCGACGGATCTATAACCACGCACCACATCAATTAGCAAGATCTATTCTGCTGAAAAAGATATCCACGATTCCACCAACCTTTCGAGCGCATGGCGCTCAAAAAGGCAACACTCATGAAGTAGTCGTCCCACGACAGATAATCCGACCGCTTTTGCACTGCTAACGGCAGCGTTGTCACCGCTTCCTGCGTCTCCAGTTTGTCCTCGTCCTCGCTCGCGTCCCAGCTGACATCATTGCCATCCAAGGCAGTTCCATTGGCCACTTCTTCGTCACTTTCCGCGGGTGTCCTTGCTTTACCGTTTGCTTCATTATTAGGAGGCGTTGAGGACTTCCCACCGTTGGCCAATGCAGGAACTGGAATCGGATGCGCTTCGCGCGTTGCGGCTGCCACCCAATCCGGGTGTTTGACCAGCACGTGCTGCACCAAGTTCGTGTACCCATGTTTGAGTCTCTGAGCACGCGTCTTGCCGCACTTGCAGCGGAATAGAGTAGTAACATCCACCTCCTCTTTCATACCATCGGTAGGAGGGGGCCGTTCTACCTCCGTATAGAACAACTCCATCACCTGCCGGCCGCTGAGTTTCCCCGCCATGACGCCACTCAGAAAGTTACAAATTTGTGACTCGCATAATATTTGACACAAATTCCTTATTAGCCAATCATAGAACAGTATTTGTTACCAGAGTCCTACACGACTGTAACATTGATCATGATGCGCTCCATAGCCACTTGGAAGGCCTGCATCTCCTCGAACGTGTACAATTCGCACTTGAAACGAGATTGCAAGATGCCCAGGAACAGCCGGATACCCAGTGGAATAGCCTTGTCGTTGAAGTCGTAGTGGTTCGAGTGCAGCGCTCGCATCTTCTCCGTGTCTCCGTCTTCCTTTGTTCCCAAAAAAAAGTAGCAGCCTTTTCGTTCTTGTAGGAAATACGAGAAATCCTCAGCCGCCATAAGTGGTAAGCCTTCCTCACTCACATACAGCCCCATGTCCATCGCAATCTGCTGCACTTGACGCGTCTCCACCTGAGGGTTGATCACAGGAGCGTAGCCATCCAAGAAGTGAACGTTGGCCGTAGCACCGTACGCTGCACACGTGGAATGTACCAGTCTGGCCACACGATCTTTGATTTTCTCGGCAATTTGGAGATCGAAGTCGCGGATAGTGCCGCCTAGAAACACACGAGATGGAATCACATTATTCGCGTCACCTCCGCGGAACTGAGTGACGGACACAACTGCCGTGTCCATAGGCGACAGAGAGCGACTCACAACGGACTGCAGCGCCTGCACAACAGCTGAGCCTGCTAGAATCGGATCCACACACTGCTGTGGGGCCGATCCGTGACCACCAATGCCGTGGATGTCGATAGAGAACTCCACTTCGTGAGCCATGACAGCTCCAGGACGCACGTGGATGCTGTACAGCGGGAACGGAGCGTTGTGGCATCCGTACACCTCGTCTACATCAGTCAGTGCGCCGTCCTTAATCATCTTCATAGCTCCACCAGGTCCTTCTTCAGCAGGCTGGAACAAGAAGCGTACAAACGTATCTTGAGGGAGCAGATGGGCACTACGCACGACCATCACGCAGAGTCCCAGTACCATCGCCATGTGACCGTCGTGGCCACACATATGAGCTGCAGCCGTAGAGATCTGGAATTCCTCGTCATCGTCACCAGCGTTGGGCGCAGGTGGAGCCATGATCGTTGTGGTAGTGATGGTGGACGGAGCAGGTAGTAGATTTGCTGGTGTATCCATCTTCACATCGGGTCTAGAGTCACAGGAAACAGCAGCCACGTCCTCGCCCTTCTTCGGCGACGAAGTTTGCGGGGTGGAGCTCTTTCGTTTCTTACGCTTCCGAAGCTCTTTCTGTCCCCCTTTTTGAGTGGAGCAGTACGGGAGATGGTCGTTTAGTTCTTCGATCGGTAACGCGTCCATGTCGGCACGGAAGGCGAGTACAGGCAGCTTACGTTTGTCGGAACGCGAGATAGTAGCGTTGTCGTAGCAAACGTCTACGATAAGACCAGTAGATGCCATCTCGCGGATGTTCTTGCCCGGGATATGCAGGGTCTGCTCGCAGAACCGCCGGATAAACGCCTGAGTACGGAATTCCTGATATCCAGTCTCCGGGTAGCGGTGGAAACCGCGTCGGATGTCACGCAGCATGCGCGAGAAGCCGATCCAGTCCAGTTCTTCGATATCTTCAGTGCTGGCAGCCCCATCCACTGTCTGATCAGTCTGATCCGCCGTCTGTTGGCTTTTAACTTGCGTAAAGTTCTTGAGGAAGGGCGAGACCTTGGCCAGCATTCCATGTAGACCCTGTTTCCACGGATCGTCGGGTGGGTACAGACTCTTACTGTGGAGATTGCTACTATAAGTTGGAGCTCTTGTGGGCGTCGTAGAACCTGAATAAGGCGTGGAAACGCTTGCGTTGCCATTACTGACGCCGCTCTCCACGAGCGTACTTTTGCCACGAAGACGCTGGTCGCGGATCTCCTCGGGTGTATCGTAGTAGCGCCGCAGGAAGTCGTCCTTCTTTCGCAAAAGCTTGCGGATCGCTGCCTCAGTCACTCCGAACTTGTCGGCCAATTGGCGCTTCGATATCTTGCTGTTCTCCGCCATTTGGATGATGTCCACACGCTGACGATCATTCAAGCGCTTTCCCGAGCCCTGCTTGGCCTTCTTGGGCTCGTTGTCGCCCTGGTCGTGCTCGTCATGCTCGTGATCGCTCATGGTGGTAATCCGCCGCTTGAAGGGAGGGACTCGATAAGTACGCATCGCTGACCAAAAGATTATTATCGGACTTTACCGAGGAGATACAGTACACTCTACCAATCATCGGCGTCTTCAAGAACCGAGCCACGCGACTGGATCAGACGAAGCGTCGACGGAGACGATGGCGCGCAAGTTGGACGGTAAGACGGCGGTGGGCGCCTGGGAGGGCGAGAACATCCTGTCTATCGCTCAGTTTGGCAAGGAGAGCGCGCAGTACGTACCATATTGCAGCAATGAAGTCATCCGCACTGCTCATGAGTTTTTTTTTTTTGGATTGGTAGACGCGTGCTGAGCGTGGCCGATGAGATGAAGAAGATGGTCAAGACGCAAGGCGCCAATGACCTTCTCAAGGGCAAGGTACGCAATACGTTAGCTATGCTTGAAGGTATTGATTTTGACTGGGCTGCTGTAGCTCCTGGCCAACGTGTTCATGGAGCCATCTACACGCACGAGCAGCTCGTTCCAGGCAGCCATGAAGCGTCTCGGTGGCCTCGTGGTGTGCGTCAATGAGACCTCGTCCAGCAGCCAGAAAGGCGAAACATTGCACGACACTATCCGCTGTCTAGAATGCTACGCCGATGTGGTTGTACTTCGCCACCCGATCAAAGGCAGTGCTCTGGTAGCAGCCGAGGCTACCAAGAAGCCTGTGCTTAACGCTGGCGACGGCGTGGGCGAGCACCCAACTCAAGCTATGCTGGATCTGTACACGATTTATAGTGAGCTCGGCGACCTGGAGAAGCTCAAGGGTAAGGTCGTCACCATGGTCGGTGACCTTAAGTACGGTCGTACAGTGCACTCGCTTTCCAAGCTGCTGGCCATGTACGGCACCACGTTCAACTACGTGTCTCCTGAGAGCTTAAAGATGCCGCGCTACGTGTACGATGAGCTGGCTGCACAGGGCATCGAACAGAACGAGACCACGGACTTAAACTCGGTTATCAACCAGACCGACGTGCTGTACGTCACGCGCGTGCAAAAGGTAAGCGGCGTATCTGGATCCTGACTGATTGTGAATAGCACTCATGTTCAATTGATGTCATTATATTTTCAGGAACGCTTTGAGAACGAGGCCGACTACAACGCAGTGAAAGACAGCTTCCGCATCACGCTGGACACCATCAAGGACGCAAAGGCCAAGATGGTCATCATGCACCCATTACCGCGTGTTGGTGAGATCGCTGAAGAGGTCGATAACGACCCACGTGCTGCGTACTTCCGTCAGATGGAGAACGGCATGTACGTCCGTATGGCTCTGCTTGCTCTCGTCCTGGGCAAGGCATAAGAGAACTCAGTGGTACCGGCAGGAGCACAACCCAACGTCACACGGACCATACCGGTAGTTTCCCATTATTTTCCACGAGTTCATGGAACTATAGCGTCTTGGCGCGTACATTTTCTTCCAGTTATCTCAACTGTGGACCGATTATCGGCCACAGCACAGCGCGTTTGTACACTCGGCCGCATTTTCACATTGATACTCAACAGCAGCGTCATATGCTTCCGAATTCAGTCGAGAGCCTAGAAAATAAGCGACTTCTCTCACGAAATGCTCGGCGTCTTCATACAAAAATGGCGTGAGCGCTTGCTGCAGCTCGTCGTAGCATTTCTTGGACCCACACTGCGTGATCTTGTTAAGACAGCACTGGATGATTGCCAGCAGTACCGTCAGATCGATATCCCGTCCAATACAAGCCCTCAATTCTCTCTCAAGCCAGACTTCGTACTCTCCTTTGACCTTGTGCATCTTTGGGTATGCGTGCGAGTCTTCGATCTGTTTGCCAGCCACCCGAACGAGGCGCATGCGGCGTCGATACACAAGCGAGCGTCGTCTGAGTCTCTGTCGATTGCTATCGTTGCGCTCGCTCTGTCTATTTCTGCCCTCGTGGTCCCGTATCCGTCGCCCCTGGAAGCGGAATAGCTCGAAGTCCGTCTCGCTCCGCACATTGGCATACACGTCTTGGAACGGATTTTTGCATAACGGACACGTGGGCAGATCCACGCCGTGAAGCGCTAGACTGTGTACCCATGTGCTTAGACACTCGAAGCAATACACATGATAGCAGGATACTAGCATCACGGGGTCCTCCAGTGTCTGCAGACAGATCGGGCACGCGTCACCGAGCACTGCCAGATCAGCTGCACGAGCGTTCTCCTCCTGTTCTCTTGATGAATCTACTTGACCACTGGAGGACGCAGAGGGAGCTACAGCGTTATGTGCATCTGATGACGTCAGTACAGCGGCGTCATCGCCCCGACCGGCCCAGTCGCCCTCGTCCAGCGCCGCCTCGTCCGGATCAGCGCGATTCCCAATCGACATTCGAAAAAATGGGGCTAAAAGAAGAAAGTTTGAAGTTGGTGTCGTGCACATCATCCATAATTAACCAATCAAACGTCGGTGTTCAACCTCCCTTATCATCCAATCAAACGTCTTTGTTAGCTATTGCCTGCCTTCCAGTGCTTTTCTTGATCGAAGAGTTACACTCGTCAATCGACTGCGTGTTGAGCTGCAATGGCGGGCGACGATCTGCTGAAGAAAGGCAAGCAGAAAGGTGCAGGGGGCGGCGCAGATGCGGGTACGACGCATGGCAAAAGTAATGGCAAAGGTGCGGGTGTAGGCGGCTTCCAGCACTTGGGACTGAGTCCTCTAGTGTTCCGCGGCGTCATGGCCATGGGCTACAAGGTGCCCACACCCATCCAACGCAAGTCGCTGCCGATCGTATTGTCCGGAAAGGACTGTGTGGCCATGGCCCGAACAGGTTCTGGTAAGACTGCCGCTTTCCTCGTCCCCATGGTGGAGAAACTCAAGGAACACTCGACCAAGATCGGTGTGCGTGCTGTGGTGCTCTCACCCACGCGTGAGCTGGCGGTGCAGACGCTGCGCTTCGCTAAACAGCTGTCCAAATTCACGTCGCTTAAGATGGCGCTTATCGTCGGTGGCGAAGGAATGGACCAGCAGTTCGAGGCCATCGCGTCCAACCCGGACGTGCTGGTGGCCACACCTGGACGTCTCATGCATCTTCTACAGGAAATCCCAGACTTTAACTTGAAGGCTGTGGAATATGTAGTCTTCGACGAAGCCGACCGTATCTTCGAGATGGGATTCGCCGAGCAACTACAGGAGATTTTGAAGAATATGCCCACTAGTAGACAGACGTTGCTGTTCTCTGCTACGCTACCGAAAGCGCTGGTGCAGTTCGCACGCGCTGGTCTAAGCGACCCGGAACTTATCCGTCTAGATGTGGAGAACAAGATCTCGGAGAACCTCAAGATGGCCTTCTTTACTGTCCGATCGCTGGACAAGCCAGCGTTGTTCTTGTATATGGTACGCGAGTTCTTACCTAAAGGAGATCAGACGATCGTCTTCGCTGCCACACGCCACCACGTCGAGTTCTTACACGCTCTACTAGCCGCCAACCACATTGAAGCATCGTGTGCTTACGGTGACATGGACCAGGCTTCGAGAAAGATTAATTTGGGCAAATTCCGAGCCAAGAAGACAAATTTACTTATCGTCACGGACGTGGCAGCGCGTGGTATTGATATTCCGCTACTGAACAACGTGCTGAACTACTCGTTCCCACCTACAGCCAAGCTGTTCGTGCATCGTGTCGGTCGTGCAGCTCGTGCCGGTCGCAGCGGTACAGCGTTCAGCTTCGTGGACCCAGACGAGACGCCGTTTATGGTTGATCTACACCTGTACATTGGTCGTCGTCTGGAAGACTCGTCGCCCGAGGAAAGCGCTGGCACCAAGCCGTATTCACTAAGTACGATGCGTGTCGAGGACGTTCACTACGGCGCGTTCCCCAACGAATTGATCGACCAGGAGAACGAGGCTTTACAAGAGACAGTGCGCAGTCATCCACAGGTTTCACCGCTTGTCAAGGTCTGCGACAACGCGTACAAGGCGTACGCACGCACACGCGCTGATCCGTCCAAGAACTCGATTCGTCGCGGCAAGGAGCTGGCAGTGAAGAAGGTGCATCCTTTGTTCCAACAGGAGTATGTGCTGGACGAGAGTAAAGCGGACAAGGCAGCGTACATCGACTCGCTTCAGACGTTCCGTCCGCCTCAGACGATCTTTGAGATCGCAGCGGGTGCTCACTCCTCAGCTAAACGCTCGTCTCCGGGTGTTCTGATGATGGTCAAGAAGAGGAAACTGCATGGCAAGATCATCGCTACGGAGACGACGAAAGCGGCGGACAAGGTGAAGGCCAAGGAAGAGGCGACGGCACTTAACGCTGCGGCTGAAAAGGAGGAAGTTGCTGGCGCTACGGACGATAAACTGACGGGTACGAAGACGGATAGTGAAGATAACACCGAGGAGGCGGCGGAGGAAGCTGTTGCGCCGAAGAAGAAGGCGTTCTTCTTGTCCAAACACGAGCGTAAGCAGCTTAAGAAACGCGTGGCAGCTGGAGAGAAGGAGGAGGACGTCATGAAGCAGCTCGCGGCAGCTAAGGAGCAGGGAGCGACCAATAATGAGACCCAGGATGAGGGCGATGCGTCGTTCAAGGACGACGAAAACTACATCGGCTACATGAAGGACGGAGACTACACGACCGAAGGATTCTTGGCCAAGAACGCCGACGGTGGCAAGGTGAATGCGTTCGCTGAGGCCCGTCTGGAAGAAGCCATCCTTGATGTGAACCCGGACGAGGCAATCGAGATGAACAAGAAGCGTCGTATTCTTCACTGGGATGTGCGTAAGAAGAAGTTCGTCAAGACTACAGCGGGAGAACTCACGAGTCAAGGCACACTCAAGCGGCGTAACGAGAGTGGAGTGAGTGTACGTAAGAAGCAGCAGGTTGGCGAGGTGTATCGGAAGTGGCAGCAGAAGCAACATAAGCGCGTGGCTGGCGGTGGCGTTGAGGTGGAAGATGACGACAACACTGGAGGGCGGAAACTGGACTACCGTAATGGCAGGAAGCCGCGTGGTGGCGCGGTCATGGCCAAGCGCAGTGGCGTCAACAAACACGCCAAGGACGAGTTGATGAGTGAAGGCAAGATCCGCAAGGAGGAGAAGCGGAAAGCTCGTTCACGCGGTGTCAAGGTCTCGTCTGGTGTCAAGTCGAAGCGTGGCAAGGGCAACATCAAGGGAAAGAGTCACGGTGCTCCGACCAGAAGCAAAGCTATCATCAAGAAGCGGTAAGCTAAGGATGACTCGAGGCTTTCAGTTGTCTTGTGACGACGCTAGATAATAATATAGACAAGTCGTGTGCACTTTCAATCAATTTCTTACCAACTGATCGCATCTCCGTTGCCAAAGTGGCGGAGATGAAGTGGCTCGCCCAGTCTCGTACGCACGATCACTTGAGCCATGCCAGCTACACTCTCCTCGGGTCGAACGTCAGCTGACGAGGACACTCCGTCGGGTTTGTCGTCGATTCCTGAGTGTAACAAGACACATCCGATCTTGTGAGGCAGGAAATCCGCCACTAGCGACCTCGTGAACATGTGCAGTGCACTCATAGACGCCCGGAATCCGTACGAACCTCCAGCTAGATTCTCCGAGATGCTACCTGCACGTGACGATACATTCGCTACGAACGCCATGCCACGATCACGGACTCCAAGACGTAGGTTCTGGAGTAGCGCACGCGACACAATAAAAGGCCCCATAGCGTTTACTTCGTACAGGCGGATACAGTCCTCGGGTGTTGTAGAGTGCATGTATCCTTTGATAAAGAGTCTGGCATTGTTGATCAGCAGATCGATCGGAATGTCCTTAAGAGCGTCAGCAGCAGCAGCCACAGACTCCTTATAACCTGGATCCATGGCTACGACCTTCCAGGGCGACAGCTGCATGACTTTGACGCACATTTCGCCTTCAGGACATGCCGCAATGACGTCCCACCCTTCGCTCATGTAGTGCTGTACGAAAGCCATCCCTGTGCTGTTGTCTGCCCCTGTGACAAGCACTGTTCTCTTGGGTCCAGTATACACTGGTGCTAGCACTTGAGCCGTCGAAGTGGGCGTCGACACGAGTCCCAGTTGCGTCGGACGCGCACGTCTCGGAGTGTTGGACGCTTTGCGTCCTCCTGAACGGGACGATGAAGCAGCCGCCTGGATGCGCGAGGACACCATTGGATCAAATTGGATCTCAGCATCGCCACCCTCACCGTCGGTCTGCAGAGAGCGCGGCCGCAGTCCCATGCCGTGACGCCGCATGAAGCTGGTGAGCCATCCGTCCGAGAGGTTTAGAGATGGCGCGTCGGGGATGGTGGACAGGATTTCACGCGCTTTGTCCACTAGAAGGCGACGGGTGAGATGTATGTGGTTCTGCACACAACTGTCAACGTAGAGCTTGAGCGCCAGATCTAACTCGGGGCAAGACACGCCATGGCCCTTGCGAGTGATACCGTGACGCTGCTTGTCCTCGATCTCCTCGGCTGTTTTCAGTACGCGCGAGACCGTAGCAGCCGTGGGGCCCGTTGGCAGGTTAAAGGCCTCGTGTGCCCATGACGCCAGCTTCCTCGTGGATATTGAAGGGTTCTGGCGATGCTTCTGAATGAGCTCGAACTTCTGAGCTACCGTCATCCATTGCACCATTTTGACGGGAGCACGGTACTTGTTGCAGAATGCGCGCGAACGAGGTCGCTTGAAGAAGAGGGTGTGGTATACACAAAAACGAGGTTGCACGAAAGGATGGGTTTCTAAACACCAGTGAACAGAAATCGCTTGATGACCTTTTCAACAAAGTAAACTGCTCGCACCCACGATTTTGTCCCGGACAAAAAATGAAATAGTGCTATGTTATAAGATACATTTTTGAAGACGTTTAGGACAGATGAAAGGCTTTTTTATTATTATTTTTGCCTTCATGGCCACGAAAGCTTATTCATCGTGTCGTACGAGAGCCCTAGCTAGGGTTAATTGTAAGTACATTTTAGAAAGTGACTCAATGTTGATTCTTGATGATAGCTGCAGATAATTTCCACTTTCCGCAGGACTCGTGTCGAGTGAAAACATGTAGCTCGGAATTAGGAGGAGTCCTGCAGGCTGCGACAGGAGTTACCAAGGCAGCACGTCGCCCTTCTCGAAGTGGTACATCACGAGCTTGTCGCCGAGCTTGGCACGCTCAATGATGCGTACCATTCCGGCAACGCTGTCCGCAGCCTCCACGGTACCGGTGAAGTTAATGATCGCCGTGTTGACATGGCCCGGGTGCAGCAACAAACAGCCAATTTTCTCGGACTGAAGATCAAGAGACAGGCTCTGCGTAACCATGTTGAGCGCCGTCTTGGACGCGCGGTAGCCGTACGAGCCGCCAGAGCCATTGTCAGCGATGCTGCCCATGCGGGAGGTGATCTGGGCCACAAACGCCTGGCCATGCGCGGCTACTGCGAGGCGAAGGTTTGGTAGAACCGCTCGCGTCAAGAGAAACGGGCCCACGGTGTTGACTTCGAACTCGCGCATCATGCTCTCTTTGGTGGTGGCGTCCAGGCCTCCGGCAAAGGAGACACCGCTGTTGTTGATGAGCAGATCAGCAGCTACACCGTCGACAGCCTTGGCCATCGTCAGGATTGACTGCTCGTCGCCTGTGTCGAGTGTCAGGATCTTCCACGGCTTGAGATTCTTGAGCTCGTCGGCGGTGTCGACACTGCGTGCCGTGGCAATGACGTTCCAGCCCTGCTTGACATAGTGTTGCGCAAACGCGAGGCCGATGCCGCGGTTGCCGCCAGTGATCATAACCGTCTTGGAGGTCATCGTGGTTGAAGGAGAAGGGATTTCGCTAGTCGACTTAAGCGGCTCGAGAAGTGAATCACTTCTGAAGTTGCGAGACCAAGCATCCACTTAAAATGTTACGCAATCCAAGCAGAAAAATATGGGGTTTAGGCGCGTTCTTATTTAGAAAACTGCAGTACAGGGCCACAGGGCCACCCAACCTCTAGACAAGTGAGCGGCTGGGCAAAACTGCAGGGTAGGTGCAAAGCGAGGGTAAGCGACATCTCCACCCTCCTTGACCAGTCACGTCTAAACCAAAAAGCGCCGATGGTTTTCATCGGTCCTCAGCGGGACTCCTCTCTGCTGGCACTACTAGCGGTGGCAATCGTTGACGAGAATGGCAGCCGACAGGAGCAGTTCGTACGTAGTCGACTGCTGTGGACTCTCGAGAAGGAGCGGCTTTTACGAGAAGGGCAGTTTTCTAGGTGCTTTCGCATGAGTCCAGGAGCATTCGACAAGCTGTGTAGAATGGTCTCGCTAGAACTGTGTCTAAATCCGCGTACATGGAAGTACCGAGGAGCAATTACGGTGACAAATCGACTGCAAATGCTTCTTCGCTACATGGCTGGAGGCGCTGTGATTGACATTCGACGTATTGGAGGAGTGAGCTTGCCATCATTCTATCGCGTACTCTACGACACTTCAAGAGCTATTGTTGCCTTGACGGAATTGAGCATCCGTTTTCCCATGTCGTCTACCGAGCGAGAATCTATTGCTCGTGGGTTCAAGGTTGTAAGCTCGGGAGGAATTATTAGCGGGTGCATTGGTGCAATGGACGGCTGGCTGTGCAGTATTGTCACTCCTCCGACGAGAAAGGTTGACCAAGTGGCTGAAGGCGAAGACCCCGGAGCAGGGGTTCGTGCGTATTTTAGTGGTCACTATGGTACCATGGGTATCAATGTTCAGGCCGTGTGTGATCACTACTGTCGCTTTACGTATATCAATGCCAGTAATCCTGGCGGCTCTAACGATGTGAAGGCGTACCGTGAATCACGGCTTCCCCGGCTCGTTGAAGGACTAGAGCGAGGCCTCTACGTCGTGGCAGATAACGCGTACATGGCTACCAATCATATTCTAACGCCGTACACGCGACCTCAGATTGGGGACAATATCTACCGCGACTCGTTTAATTTTCACGTTTCTCAAGTCCGTATCCGGGTGGAAATGGCTTTCGGCCTGTTAGTGAACAAGTGGCGGCTATTCAAGTCACCGCTGTCTGTGAAACTGGAGAATGCCACGCTTTTGATTCACTGTGCAGCTGTCTTGCACAACTTCGTAGTGAACGCGAGATTGAAGACTACAGTGAACCCTGTTGGCCACGAAATCTCTTCTCTCGGAGAACTGGTAGGATCGTTTTCGCTGACTGATATTCTTGCATACGATGCAAGCGACTTGGCTGACGCAGGCGCAACGACAAGTTTTGTTCGCGAAGGAATCGTCGAGAAGCTGAAGACACAGTCGCAACTTCGACCTCATATACCAATGAATAAACAGTAGAGTTGTGTTCGTGTTCATTCGATTCTGTGCTCATCGTTCAGTTACCGTGTCCTACATCTCGACGGGGCTATCTCCAAGCAAAGCCTCGTCGCCTTCCGCATCTTGATGCTCTTCAGCAAGCTCGGCGGCGGCCGACTTCATGACCTTGTCGATTGCGGCACGAATGGAATGCACAGTGTCCGATGCGTCGCCAGTACGCGTCAAAATCTCAATGGCAGAAGCCCATTCCTTCACCACCCGAGCCTTTTGCTGCGAAGACGACAGGGTGGACTCTTGCTCAGCATGCTTCTGGCTTTCCAGTAGGTCTGCAATACGATCTAGCACTTTGAGTCTCTTCTTAGCCGGTGTAGACACATTTTGGTCATTGCCAGCAGCCGCAGTGCTATCGATCTCGCCGCTGCTCTCGAGGATATCCAGGCGAGCTCGTTTCGGTAGCTTCCGCTCAACCGTTGAAAGCATGGACGGTCGGCGGCGCAGCCAGTCATGCAAGTACAGCGCCTCAAGTTTTCCCGCGCAGAAGTCGAAAAAGTCGCTGGTGTGTGTCCCCGATTGACGCGAATTTGCCAGACTTGTAGTGTAGTTGCCCGTAGCCATCCGCCACATCTCACGAAGTTTCACTGCATAGTGTTGAGGCGCAAGGCTGGGATTAATCCCTGCGTACTCCACGCGATTCACAACCAGAGAGTCAAACTCCGGGTTCTTCGAAGCAAAAGCAGCTTCGACGTCCTGCCAGAAGTTGTTGTAAGCATTGACTGCACCGACATCTAGCGCATAGCGTGACGGACTGGCATCCATTTCGTGGAGCCGCACGGCAAATCTTTCACTGAAAATCACCTTCGCCAAACGGAAAAAGCAGTGCTTCGTCCGACGGGTGGAAGCTGACGGTACGTCCGGCTTTGGCGGGTCGGAAGCCGTGACAGCGACGCCATCTTGACGAGCCTGCCAGTATTCACACAGCAGCGTAATGTAGCCGGCTTTGTTGTTTTGATTTGAGCGAGCTTTCCCTTGCGGCTGGATCCGGAGGCTGGAGCATGCTGTTCGAAGATCCCTGGCCAGGTAGCCTGCTAACGCACCCCGCAGCGCGTCTTCGCTGCCGTCCGATGGGAACGAGTTCAGCAAAGCAACGATGCTTGACTCGCTCATGATGAACACGATCCAAAAACGAGAATGACACTGCAGGTGTCGAGCTCCTAGCGAATGGTGGCTGCAGGTGAATGGCAGCGAGAGCTTCTTCAAACACACCCGCAGCGGCGATGAACAGGTGGTGGGGGGGGGGGGGTGCTCCTCAAGACATGTGGCGAGAAGCTGCTAAACAGCGGGGCCAGCTCTCTGCTATTGCTGTGCACTAGCCCTTGGATGGCAGTCAGAGATGCTGTTGCTCTCGAGGTCATCCCGCGCCTGCGCGACAACCTGTACTGCGCTGAGACACGGACCTACAGGTCGTTGTCTGGTTGTCGTCAGAAACCGCCTTCTTTTTGACCAATCGTACACCGAACAGGATCTGCAGGCGCTAAATAAGAACGCGCCTGACTCCACGAACAACATTCTTACATGTTGTTTCTAATGTGTTCCACACAAGTTGAACGCCAAACAATGTCGCTCGAAGGTTGCAAATACTTCAGGCAGATACGCTTGCCACGCAAGGCACTTCGACTGTTGTCATGCGTCTGCTAGTGCTGCTGCCTGCGTTGCTGAGTGTGTTGCCCGAAATCGCGGCTAATTCAGCCACACACTGCGTCAAGTGGCGCTCCACCTCAAACTGCGATCCGCACGGCGTACGTGAGCCGCAAAATGATGCCGCGTGTTCGAAGCGTATCGCCTCCGGACTCTCTGGCTACTGCGAGTGCGAAGGCCGCCGCCGCGTCCGAGAGGTCGAATGCGACCACCACGAATTCACCTGTGAGGAAGCTTGCGCGCAGGACTCCTCCGTCGACCTCAGCTGTACGAATGATAAATGATTCGTCCTTTGGAGTTGACTAGCTGCTAACGCTTTTTGTGCTGCAGACCCGCAAGGTTTCGAGCATGTGACGTGTGGTAGCTCCATCAAGCTGGTGCACGAGCCGAGTCGCTACCGTCTGCACTCTCACGAAATCACGTATGGCAGCGGTAGCGGTCAGCAGTCGGTCACTACGCACATGGCGCGCAATGACGTCAACAGCTACTGGCTCGTCAAGGAAGGAGACAGTGCTCCAGTATGTGAAGTGGGCAAACCTATTGAGTGCGGTGCTACAATTCGACTGGAGCACATGCAGACGCGACGTAACCTTCACTCTCACATGTTCAAGGCGCCATTGTCGTCCCAGAACTTGGAAGTGAGCGCCTTCGGTGTGGCAGGAGAAGGAGATCGATTGGACTCGTGGATTGTCGAGTGTCAAGAGAACCAGCAGTGCTCAGCTGACGGCCACTGTGAAGACGACGGACTCTGGAAACGTGGCGAGCTCGTACGTCTACGTCATCGATCTACAAACCACCTGCTCACCACGAGTTCCAAGTCTCGCTTTGATGACAGCAATTGCCCGCGTTGCCCCATTAACGGCCAGCAGGAAGTGAGTGGCAGCTCCATGCGCGATGAAAACACCCTCTGGTTCGCTGGAGAAGGTATCTACGTGACGGAATAAATGAGAAAATGTCCGGAAAAAATATTGGGGGAAAAGTAACGTTTGCTGCCTGTCACACTGTCGACAAATATGGTGCTTTAACATTAAACACGACGTCCCCACTCCATTCTTGCGGCACTACTGTAGTAAATAATTCATCTCTCAAGATCCAACTCGATGACTTCGAAGCCGTCGTCTTCAAGATCAAACTTTGTCGTCTCGTCACACTCCAGGAATACCGGGGGAACACCCCCCTGGTTAGTTGGCATCTCGAACAGTGCCGTCGTCAGCGCCTTGACCTCTTCTAATACTTTCCGGATAAAAACACACGATTCGTTCGAAGAATTGACGTCACTCGAGGAAACACGCGAGCAGCACGTGATAACATCGTGGGTCTCTAACACAGTGTCCAGACGTCCAGCAAGCTCCAGCATGTACGACCTGGAAGCTTCTTTATACCATCGGATAGACTTCCCTTCGAGAGTTAAGAGCTTCGAGATAATCTCGCGAATATAAGCCTCTCCATCAACTTGATCGATCGTCGACTGCAACAATTTCTTCAAGTTCGAAGAAGGAGATTCAGGACAAGCCATGTAGGACTGCAACAAAAAAAAAGTAAGTTTACTTTACGTAAGGCAAAACAACACAACAACGTCACACTCACTGTTGGAAAGAGAGCCATAAACTTCTCCGCGTTGGATAATATCTCCTTCTCCAGTTTCTTCACTCGCTTCTCCTCGTCACGTTTCGACTGTTCGGATTGAATTGATGCTTGGTTGAGGTCCGCGGTGAATTGTCTCTCCTCAATCTTGGATATAATCCAGACCATACAGGCGTCTGGGTCATCGCCAATTTCTTTCACGCTCGCCTCTGCGTCTTCCTGTGTGAAGCCCATTCCAACCAGCCGATCCACAGTGAGACTGTGTCGAGGACGGTCGGTACCTCCTCGACGTCGGCCTTTTGCTGTGCGGCGCTTAGCTTTCGCGGATGGGGATGGGGGCTGCTCTGCGTCAGCGTCCGAAGAAAAGGCATACAAGTCGAGCATTTCGTCTGCATAGGTCACGATAACAAGCGTTAGAAATCTCAATTTCTCTGGTCAAATTGAGCAGTTAGCAACATACCGTCGTCCAGAAAAGTATCCATCTCAGTCTTCTCCTGATGGTGCTTCGATGCCTTCTTTGCCTTGCTCTTCCCCTTGTTACTTGTATTAGTAGTGCCATTTGCTGGTGCTGCATTCTTGCGATGCGGCCGCCGACGTTTCTTACCAGTCTTCGTGGTGGCTTTTGGTTGGGCTACCTCCGGTGCTGATGAAGTAGACTGAACAGCTGCAGTTGATCGTGTTGGACTTCGTACTGGCGTTGAATTGACGGAAGGATTTGGTGGAATCACCGCCGGGGAAGAGTGCGTCCGCTTAGCTGACACCGCTGCCGGTTCAGGTGGATGTACAGTTTGAGTTGGCGCCGTTGAGGGCTGTAAGGCAACTGCTGACATTGAGCTTCTTGTGGTACCTGCTGGTGCGTTGGCTGTCTTTACCGAGGATGCTGTGGCTACCTGTGTATTAGACTCTGTCATTGCTGCTGCTCTGTGAGACAAAACTGTTGGTGCTGTGGTTGGCAAAGTTGACGAAGGCTGCACTGTGGTGTTCCCTGTGGACACCGGGACAGCAGTACGCGGAGTCGCTGCTACAAGTGAAGCTGGTGGCACTTTTGCTTCAGAAGTCGGCGCTGCTGTCTTGGATGCTGGTGCAGGTTTTGCTTTCGGTGGAGTTGGCACAGGAGTAGGCGAGCTTTCTGGCTGTTCAGCTGCAGCAACAAGCCCAAGGTAAGTTGGACTTTCATTATTTTAGCAGAGACACAACTAGCGAGTAACCAACCTTGATTCACTTGAGGTCGGGAAGAGGTGATCGCTTCAACCGGGCTCTTTGGTATCCTGCTGGTAACAGGTAGGTCACTAGTCGGCTGTTCCTGAGATGCCGGTTTGAGATCCACTCTAGATGCTGTGGCTGTTACCTTCTCTTCAGCTTTTTCAGAAGCCACCGACTTTGGTTTTGGTCCCAAACGAAGTACCGGCTTCACAGATTTTCTCTTCGAATTGCCCCCACTCGCAGTTTTCGCGTCGGCACTCGCGACACTTGCAGACGTAGAAGAAAATACCCCACTCTGCGGTTGTAATCCCAACGATTTTGCAGCACGCTTCGCTACAAGCCTCAGAGCTGGCTGCTTCGGTGGTGCAAGACTCGGGACTGCTAATGCCGATCCTGGAGCTGCTATCGCCCTACCTGATGACACAGCAGTAAAACCCGTCACTGGGGTAATCGGTCGCTGAGCGTTAGAACCCGCTTCAGTCTGCAACGCTGGTCTATTCGACAGGGTCGTAGCACCTCCGAACGTTGCTGCCGCTGTAAAAGCCGAAGTTCGAGGCGACGCTGTGCTCTCCACAACTTCCAGTGTAATTCGAGCCTGATAAAGTCGTTGTCCATCAATCACTCTGCAACGAATTAACCCAATAAAACCCAAACGGATGAGATGTGTACCTGCCCCACGTTGCGGAAATGATTAGCGACCTGCGCAACCGTCAAACCGCCAACTGGTTTGTCGTTGATACTCCGCAGTACGTATCCTGTCATTTACAAAATCAACACACCACACAGAGCAAGCACTCAGCTTTTCATTCTTGTATTAACACCAACTGCGAGCGCTCACAAACCTTTGCGGACACCTGCGCGGTCAGCAGGCGAGTTGGCAAAGACGCTGGAAACCACCGTGTACTTGGGACCAAGAGCTGGACTTTTCTGAGCCAGAGACATTCCAAACGAGCGTTCACCGTCATGCAGCGTAAGCAGCACCTGGATCTGGCGCTGTTGACTCTTGGACGCCATGATACGGCCGCTCTCGTGATCTCCTGATGGCTACGAGACCTTTATCCGATTTGATCGAGTCATGTACTGCATTACATCATGATATGCTGCTCATTAGGTCATTTGTGTTCAAAACATCTCATTTCTCTGACCAATGAATTTGCCCCATTCTTCTCCCCAGGCCGAGTAGACACACTGCTGGACGAGTATGGGTGTGCCTGCCTTCTACCGCTGGGTGCAGGAGAAGTATCCGAAATGTGTCGTGGACTGCGTGGAGAGTCGCGCCGTGGTGCTTGAGGGAGAGCGTCACTTCGAGCTCACAGACACGACGGGGCCAAGCCCCAATGGCTTTGAGGTGGACAATCTGTATGTCGATATGAACGGCCTTATCCATCCATGTGCACACCCGGAGAACGGCGAGGCGCCCAAGACCGAAGAGGAAATGTACCGCCGCGTCATGGCCTATGTGGACCGTCTCGTGGCTGCTGTACGTCCACGTCGTGTGCTGTACTTGGCCATTGACGGCGTCGCCCCTCGAGCCAAGATGAACCAACAGCGTGCTCGTCGCTTTCGCTCGGCACAGGAAGCTGAACAGCGCATGGAAGTAGAGAAAGAGGCGCTTGAATACATGAGCGCATTGGGCCACAAGGTGCCCAGCAAACAGGAGAAACCTTGGGACTCGAACGTCATCACGCCTGGCACCAAGTTCATGGCCAAACTGGCCAAACACCTGCGTTTCTACATCCGTGACCGCGTCAACAATAACGCTGCATGGAAGAGTATCAAGATCATTCTATCCGACGCAGGTGTGCCTGGAGAGGGAGAGCACAAACTCATGCAATACATCCGCGTGCAGCGCTCACAGCCCGGCTACGACCCGAACCAGCACCACGTGCTTCACGGTCTTGATGCTGATCTTATCATGCTGGGTCTGGCTACCCACGAAGTCAAGTTCTCCATCCTACGCGAAGAAGTACTCTTTGGTAAGCAGAAATACGAACGAGAGCGACAAAAAGAGCAGCAGACAGTGCTGGACGCCAATGGGACTACTTTGAACAAGAGAAAGCGCGGAGAGTTTGGCGAGCACGACGCAGACCTCGTGGCTTCGGATCTCAAGCCGCTACAGTACCTACATATCGCCACACTACGTGAATACCTTCAGGTCGAGTTTGAGCCGCTGTCCCGTGTGCTACCGTTCGAGTACGACTTTGAGCGAGTGATCGACGACTTTGTGTTCCTCTGTTTCTTCGTGGGAAACGATTTCTTGCCGCATTTGCCGTCGCTGGACATTCGTGATGGCGCGCTGGACTTCTTGATCTTGATCTACGCCAAACTGCTGCCTGCGATGGGCGGATATATCACCGATGGAGGCCACGTGGATCTCTCGCGTGTTGATGTGATCCTCGCTGAAGTTGGACAGGTGGAAGACGTGATTTTCCAGCGTCGTGCGCTCAAACAGGCCGAGAACGAGAGGAGACGCAAGTCGCACCTGTCGAACGAGAAGAAAGACCAGATCGCAGCGGCGGCAGCGAAGGATTCAGCTGTCGAGATACTGAAGAAGCGTCGTATTGATAAGGATATCATCGCTGCAGACAAGAAGTACGGCGGCTTGACCGCAGAAGAAGCCGTCAAAGCACGTGTTAAGGAGAGTGTGGAGAAGAAACTGGAGCAATATCGAGAAGAGGTTCAAGATGTCGTGCGCTTAGGAGAACCTGGCTGGAAGACGCGATACTACAGTGACAAGCTGAAGGCAGACGATATTGAGGTTGGAGGCGGTCGTGAACGCGTCTTCCACGCCTACATTGAAGGTCTGTGCTGGGTGATGCGATATTACTACACTGGCTGTGCTTCCTGGCAGTGGTTCTACCCGTTCCACTACGCTCCTTTCGCGTCAGATTTGCGCAACATCGACCGCTTTGAGATCAAGTTCGACGAGGGGCTTCCGTTCCATCCATTCGAGCAGTTGATGGGCGTCTTTCCAGCTGGAAGTGGCCACGCTATCCCCAAGCCGTATCGGTCGTTGATGTCCGATCCTGAGTCGCCCATTATTGACTTTTATCCGACGGAAATTCCAGTTGATCCCAACGGCAAGGCGATGCCGTGGCTGTGGGTGGTTCTACTGCCGTTCATTGACGAAGAGCGACTTCTGGAAGCCATGAAGGAGCCGAATCAGAAGCTGACGGAAGCTGAGAAGAAACGCAATGCGCGGTTCGGCAAGGAAGTTGTCTTCTTCCACACCAAGTGTCCCGTGACCAAGAACCCACCGACGACTGAGCTTGCTGAGGCGCAAGCTGACCCGAGAATCTCGCAGTCGTTCAACGGATCACTTATCTACATTGAGTCGCTCTACTTCCCTATTGGAGGGATCGTTCCGAGTCCAGAGAAGTCCCAGAGACACTTGGCGGACATCCCGAACAACCAGTGCTACAGTTTCCAATACCGCTTGCCGCCCACTCTACCGCATCTGTCGAAAATCTTGGACGGCGCTCAATCTCCCTGTCCCGTACTGATTACAGACAATGACAAGCGCATCACGATCCCGTTCTTCGGCAAGGCCAACATCAACATTGTGGATCTGGCTGGCGATGCTTCAAACCACACAAATGTGCGTCAGAACTACATGTCGCGTCACAACGGAGGCGGAGGTCGTGGATTCGGCGGACGAGGCAATGGCGGACGTGGCTATGGCGGACGTGGATACGGTCAGCAGGGCTACCAGCAAGGCAATCAACGCTTTGTGAACAACAATTTGAACGTGGATCGCTACGGTGGCCCACCTCAGCAGCAGCAGTACAATCAGTACATGGCCAACGGATACGGCAACTGGGGCTCACAGGAGCCGAGGAATAAACGCGGTCAGTATGGCGATTCCTACAACCAGTACAACGGAGGCCAGTCGTCGTATGGCCGGCCAAGCTCGGACTACCGCGGAGGCTACAATGGTAATGGCGGGCGTGGATACCAAGGCGGTTTTGGTGGACGAGGAGGACGTGGAGCTCCGATCCAGTCAGCGTTCGGAGGTAGCTTGCAGCAGGCTCAAGCGTACCCATCGAACCATATCGGTGGCTCTGCTGCCCCCGCTGCGCCTCCCGCTCCGGCACCGAGAGGTCTGGAGGCTCTGAAGGCTGGACTGCGCAGCATGCACCAGCAGCGCCAGAATAACGCCCCGCCTGGAGGCAATCCCAGTCGCTACGATCGCTAAGCTGTGTGCACGGTAGCGATGGTGGGCTGTTTTTACTACGCAGCATGATAGTGCAGATTTCCATTGGCAGACGCTAGGAAGGAGAAGCAAAGCAATCAACACGATGTTCATCTCCGCATTTTCATCGTTGACATTTCATCTGACAATTTTCTGAGTTTGCTAATCCAACATTATGGTAGCAAATTTGATTTTTCAAAACTGCAAATTCTGGCGGGAATGGGGTGGTTTGACGAAGAGGAGAAGCTGGAGCCGATGCCACCGCCACCAGCACCCAAGACACGCCCCAACACACGCAGAATACCCTCCCCACACCCGCGAACAAGATTCCAAGCTGTCAGTGACGTTGGTGATCTCCCAGCGCCGCAGTCTCCTCCGGCGCCGCATACCCACCCTCTAGTGGCGCTAAGCAATGAAAGTGCGCGCAACGTCAAGCTCCAGCGCGAAGGAGGCGGCATGGCCATGCGTAGCAGCCAAAGACTTTTCCGCCATCCAATCGTCACAGGTAAGCGGCTAGACCCGATGTTTTTGAGTCGCGACCGTGTTAAAGCATTCACGGACCGACAAGAAGAGGAACCACAACAAAGTGCCAATCCTTTTGCAGTCGAGACGGAGCATTCCAGTCGCATCATCGCGTTGCAATTGCAGCGACAAGCAGAGGAAATAGAGAAAGCGCCAATAAAATCATCCTTAGGGGAAGAAGAGAAAACTATTGCGGCGACAGAGGCAAGTGCTAGACGCCACGACTTGCTGCAATCTGCTCGACAACAAGTAAGAGAACGCAAATGGAGCGATGAAGATACAGAAAACAGCGGAATAATAATTAATGGACGGACTGGGAGTGCATTGGCGCGTGCAAGTGAACGGAAAGTCAGGAAACAGTTGAATCCCAGATGGGTGCAGTCTCGGCAGGATGCTTCTAACCGACCTAAAAGGCCACAGGAGCGACCGGAGGAAAGGCATCTGAGAGAAACACTGGTTCGGACAACGCCGCAAGATCTACTGAGGTCGGGTGTGCTGTATGATGAAGCAGATGCAGCACGAAATGCTGCGTTTGAACCACTGCACAGGCCACAGTTGCCTGTGGTTACGAAAGGAATTGTGGGACTGGCAGGATGCTACTTTGAGGAGTACGATACTTAAGTTCAAAGCTTCACTACAGGGCTATTGACAGGTAATGGTGCACACTGCACCGATACGGTACGATTGAATTAATAGGATGGCACGAACGCTTTCATCTCGCGGACGTAATCCTTTTTCTCCTTAATAACGAGCACAATGTTGAAAATGAGGATCGCCAGCACCAAAAATGAGTGGGCGACTTGGAGAGACGAGGACCATGCCACAAACTCAGCCAGCATCACCGTCGCCTCAATTGCGACCAACACCCCAACAGTGTACAGCGCCTTGCCGGTCAAGTCCCCGACACCCAAGATCATAACGGCAACCAGCAGCAACAGGTCCGTCACGAGTATAAACTGCAAAACCTCAAAAATTCATGTTAAAACTAAAGAACGATGAAAATATTAAAGTGAACATACCGTCTTCACAGGATTACCAGGAGCAGGCCGAGAGGTGCCGTCTCCAGCACCGCGAAGTGCTGACGGTGTGTCTGTCAAGTAATCATCCTCTACAGATGCAGTGGTGTAGCTCCACACACTCAAGCAACATAGCGCCAGTACCAGCGGGACGTTCATCCATACTACACTTCGCACTTTGTGCTGCAAACATAGTATAATACAACGCAGTCGTTAATCTCTCTACCTTGCCAGCACTTCTCTACACTCACCCATTTGCTCACCTGCCGCAGCTCCAATCGGAACACTTCTCGTTCAGCCTCGCGTAGCCGCAACTGCAAAGCGTTAGTCGGGTCGTGCACATGTCGAGCATGAATCTGGTACGCAGTCATAGACCAAGTGAGTTAAAAGTACACAAGTACCCATACATAACACTATTGGTATTCAGAGCACTATTAGCTCCAGCTTCAATACTTACCACCCGTCGAAGCTTCTCCTTAGTACGAAGATCATTGTCAAAGCGCGTCTCTAGATGTGGCAGCAGGAGTCTTGTCACATGCTGGTTTAGCACCCGAACATACTGCGTCTGCCTGCAGTGACAGCGTTTGACTGTAAGCACCACTATAAGCCAAAGTATGCTAGAGCTAAGTTCGCACCAGACGCGGTCATTGTCCAGCAGTCGCTGCAACCGGCGACAAGTGGAGCCTAGACCGATGATATCCCGAGGCGTGAAGAATACCGCAATATGTGGCCAGAGCTGCCGTAGTCGCTTGGAATGAAGCTTCACGCGCTTGCCACGATTGCGCTGTCGTGCCTCCTCCACCGTCGACATGCGTGGCAGCAGCGGCAATCGTTCTCCCTCCATGGCAAGAGTCGGATACGTGGCAGACCAACCCGTCTGATAATCAAGTTCAACTCAATTGATCCCATATTTTTTTCAATTTAAACAGGTTTTGTTTTGAAAAACACCAACAGAGGGCTAAATTTGGGTTGCTACTTAACGCCGCTCTTTGTTGTCTTCTCTGCGTTTGCGAGGAGCTTGGACATTCTTTGAGCGAAGAGCAGCGACGGGTACTCGACAAGATAATACGTTGCAGTCGAAAGTGCCATAATGAGAATCATCCTGGAGAAGAACCGGTCGAAGTAGTTCGGCTGCGCGCTCACTGTCGGGTTATAAATCACAAACGAGTGCATCAAGTAGACGGAGAAACTGATCTTGCCCCAGAAGCGAAGGACACTCCACTCAAGCATCGTCGACACACAGGATGGTTTGATCATCTCGATTACGAAAATGATTGCCAAGAACGCACTGATGTAGGGGTCCCCTTTGAGGGCAGGCGCGGGATTCTCGTGCACCCAAGTAAAGAGCAATCCTTTGACACATACGCTTAGTAACATTGATATGACTAGAGCTTCAACCGCTCGGATGACGATAGTGTGCCACCACTGGAATACGAACTCGGTCCTCTTGATCCACGTATCCAGTTTTACAAAAATCACGGCAGCCAGGGAACCAGTGAGAAAAGTCGAAATGTGAGGTCTCAAAGGCATGTGGTTGGATCTATACGTGTAGACTCCTTCGTGTACGATCCACACAGTCAGTGGGATGGCGGCTACCAGCCAAAAGCGACGCATTCCCAATACAGCCAAGACGAAGAACGGAATTACGAAGTAGTACTCAATCTCCAGGGGCAACGTCCAAAAGACATGATAGCGATACTCGAATTCGAATGTCAGTGTCTTGAGCATATCGAACGGTGGACGATTTCCAATAAAATAGAGTTGCTGATCTTCAGCTGTCATTAGAGACAGCACAATCACTGTCACGAAAAACAGCGGATACACTCGAAAGAACCGCTTCTGGAAATAGTCGGCCAAAGAGAACGCCCATGTGCGGCGAGATGCGCCTCGATAGAATAACTTCATGCTCTTTTTCGTAAAGATCCAGGTTAGGAGGAAGGAAGAGAGGACGAAGAACACGTCAACACCAATTGATCCAGGGTGGATTCCTGGAGTGAATTCGTGTGAGTGCTGTACGACAACAAGCATGGCTGCGAGACCGCGAATGCCATCGAGGAAGAGAACCTTCGTCTGTTGCACTGGTGCTGCTTGTGCCGTATCTTTCAAAGTCTTGGTGACTGGAGACTTCACAGTGTTGTTGTCTTCCTTAAGTAGTCGCTGGTCCTCTGGAGAAGAAGTGTCCGGATCTGAAGGCTCGATGACGTCTAACTTTATTGTTTCCGCCGTGGAAGCCACATTTGCGTGCTGGGCGCTTGGTGTGCCGTTGCTCGCGCTCTGAAGCATTTGCGCTCTCCAGTTGAGTTGGTCGTTTGAGTTGTGAAAGGATCAATAGGTAGCCACAAATACTGGGACATGCTCGAGCCACCAGAGGAAGATGGTCATATGCGTGCTTTACAACAACCCGCACGACGGATGGATAAAACACGATCTGCGAACACATGGATGAGATGTCCCTGTAATACGCACAGCGAATTCCTGCATTATGCAGTGCATACTTCAGTACATGTACTGTACAATACCTAACTTAATACATGTATTTAACAACAATTTTTGCCAGCCAGATAGGCATACCGCAATCCTCCGCATGCCATCAATTCTAGGGTATGAAGAAGAGCTGCAACGCTTTGCACGCTATTAAAATTTTGCCAGAGATGATCAAAATGATAGTGTCTGTATCTGAACTCTTGAATTTTCGTCGTGTTTTAATAAAAAGTAATAGAAACACGTAGCAAATAGATAGTACCTTACATGAAGTACTAGTATTATTACTATAGTGGTCAGTACTTTTGTCAAATCTGATCATTACAGATCATCTTGTCCTATGTAACTGAAAATTGCCGCTACTCATATATAGCAATAATATCAGATAAGCAGGGATGGTAGTACTCCGTCATATATCGCAATAATATCAGAAAGGAAGGGATGGTAGTACTCCGAGGTACTACCCAGAGGTCTGAATAAAAAAAATTAGTATCACTAAAATCAGTTTTTTAAAATATAAAAACGGATTACTGCAACTTTCTTAAAAAATGAATATGATATTGCTCCAATATTTCCAGTATAATTTGCAAAAGTAGGCTCATAGAAACTTTAGATTCCTTACGAAACAATTGGACGTCTCAGCACCGTATCTTGATATCTGTATTGCCCATACTAGCTCTTAGTTATGAATCTGATAGCCAATCATTATCTCAGAGTCCACAAGCAAGCAACTTGCAATGATCAACCGGAGGTGTTCTTTCAGCTGCAGAAGCTGCAGCGGTCAAGCGATTCGAGATCTTAAGCAGTGGTATCAAGAGGAAGGCATGCAAGGAAGATTACGCGACGCATATTCTTCGTGCTGGTCCAAGCAAGCGCGCTAAGCATAGAGGAGACAGTGGTGATATTTTCTACAGCGAGTTGTTGAAGCAGCTACCCCCAACATCAAAAGCATGCGAGCGAATTTTCTCGCAGTGCAAGCTGGTGCTTAAACCTTAGCGGACATGCATGTTGCCTGCCAATTTTGAGCTGATTATGTTTTTGCATGCAAACAGAGATTTATTGAATGTGACGAGGTTAGCTTCAGCTGGAAGTGACGCAGAGCTGTAGGCAATACTGCAATACTTACTGCAGTTTTTTATTTGTAATTGTGGAATTTCCCTTTTTATTATTGCGCTGACCCACCGTCAATTCCGTATAATACTGTATTAGAGAACCCCTGGTACTACCGGTATCTCTCCGAGACATGGGCTTATAATGCATAAATAGCTCATTTCCGGGTTGCTTAGGATCACATTTAGAGTTTCACCATGTGAAGGAAATCGAAACACGTCGGAAACCTCACACAAGAGCAAAAAAGAAAATATGCGCGTGGAAACGAGATATTCCGAGCTTAACCCTTGCTGAAATGGAAGAACGTGAGTTTCCTTTTGTCAAACGTCCCGTACAAGGAGCCATCTCGGCGATCCTCAAGGACAGCAATGGCTACCTCAACGTCCGGGACGAAGATCGAGATGTTCGACGATCGAGGCCACTAAACTTCCCCGAGCTTGACGAGGCGTATACGCCAGTGTCAGGCGCGCCTAAACATGTTGGACGGAAACATTATTAAGGCCAAAAGTCAGCGCCTTCAGAAGAAGATGCAGGTGGCGGAAGACCAGCGCATAGTATGTCAAACGGATGACTACAGTCATTTCAGAGCAGACACAGTTGAAATAGCTTTCGGGTGCATGGCAAGAGCGGATCGATGTATATTTCTTCAATTCAGGAGCACTTAGACAACGCGATGTAGTTTAGAACTATCCGATTGCGGACGTGTACAATTTCGATGAAGTCGGTCTGTTTTATAAGCTGTGCCACGATAAGACCATTGCAGGCCGTCAGATTGAGGGAGCAACAAAATCAAGACCTGAATTATTGTTGTTTTGGCCTCCAATGCTGATGGTTCAGACATGCGTGAGCCCTTCTTCGTTGGACATGCATTTAAATCAAGGTGTTATAAAGAAGAAGAAAAAACTGGTGAGCAACTAGGGTTCAGATACCAGCATCAACAAAAATGCGTGGATGACTACCTTACTCTTTCGTGAGTGGCTTGGTGAGTTTGATAACGCCATGGAGAATCAGCAGCACAAAATACTTTTACTGCTTGACAATGCATCATCACATATACCGACTGCATTGGACCTTCGTAGCGTCCACCGTCGAGATTTTGCACCCAAATACAACTCCAAATTACAACCGTTAGACGCTGGTATCACCGCGGCACTAAAGCGGCGCTACAGATACAGACAGCTACAGTACGCGCTCGATAAAGAAGAAGAAGAAGAAGAAAAAAAAATGTATGCAGTGGACCAACTGCTAGCAACAAAGTCGGTGATGTCCTGTTGGAGAAATATGAACCCATCGAAGATGAAGCTTTATTCTGTATCATACAGAGTAAAAATACTATTTATTAAAATATACCTCGACAGCTACAAACATTTCCTTCATACTAGCCCTTTCGCAGTTGGTGTGCGATAGACAATACTAAATTGCACAAAAAATGAACGAAGTTAGACAGAAACGCGTTGAATTTGAAGTTGAAACGCAACTCTATTGGCTGAGAGACAAGTATTATAATTGCATCTACCGGTGAAGTTGATATCCCGTTGAATCTGATCGGCACTAGCAAGTTTGCGCGCAAACTTCGGGCGCCAATTTGTATGGCTGCTTCACGTGCCACACACTGCGCGACGCTCACCAGATTCTCAGCCAGTTCCTAACTACAGAGACAGAAGTAGAGAGGAGCTGGACGAAAATTTTGGTGTGTTGCCAAACTGGTAAGTACTCCTCTGATGTATAGTTTCCGTTTCTTTATGCTAATTACGTCTTCCTCGTAACTAGAACTATCCGCACGTTTGCGCTTCCTAAAACACAGGTGCTTCTTTAGGTGGGGTGGAATGAGCGTGCCGTTGTGCCAGATCGTTTGCGAGATTAGGCTGCACGTGAGGTTGCTCCCAGTTTCCTCACGACGGACACGGTTGCAGAGCGGTACGTAACCGTCTAAGACTTCGCAGCAGGCCTCGCAAAAATACCTCGTCTCCAGTCCTTTGGTTTTTGAAGATGCCAGCACTGAACACACCTGGCAGAGATGCTGACGCCGCTTGCCAAGGTATAGTTGATCATTGTTTTCCAGCACGTGCTCGCGTGTAGGCTCACTAAAACCTCGGCGTTCATGTTGGTTTGAAACGTGGCTGCCATGACTCGAAGAAGATGGTGCATGTACTCAGCATGGGTAGCACAGGTTTGTTTCTCTTTGCTATCACCAACTTGTGGATCATGAACCTATTGACTATCGCCATGTCCACGAAGGCGAGAAATAGGTGTTTGTAGTACTTTCGGAAGACGACGTACTATAGCTCTGGAGACGTAGCTGGTCGTTCCAGTCTACCCCGCCCGTTCCCGAATGGTAGTCGACCACTAGCTGCGGACACGGTACCTGCGTCACCGCGCCTGTGCGCTTGTGCGCTTGTCCTTCCTCGTTACGTTAGTCACGGTAGTAGAACACCTGATGGCAATCATGTTTACTGGCTTGCTGTCCATCCAGGCAACGGCTACAAGCTTTGGATGTATCCTCGAGTGAGCAATTCGGTAAATTCCGCGCGGCGTCCAAGCTGGTCGTTTCTTTGTGTAAGACGGAGATTCTTGGGTACCCCCAAGCGGTCGTTGCGGTGTGTCCCAACAAAGTAGTAGCCCATGTTCAACAGGGTCAGTGCCAATGCACACGAACTGTAGAAGTTGTCGACAACGATAAGTCGCTTGCCCCAAATGCCTTCGAGATGTTGCGAATGACATCCTTTTGCGCCACTCCCTTTGCATTCTTTTTGTCCGACTCGGCTCGCAAGTACACTTCAACTCTGTAGCAGACAGAACAACATACAGAATAACATTGTCACTAGTGAGTTATACAGTAAACATCAATTTTATCTCGTGAACTCTCACGGGTTTCATTCTTACCAGCTTTCCCTTGATCTCTTGAAGTGACTGCCCTTTTTTGCGAGTCTTTATCTTGAGCTGCAAGCTGACGAAGGCAAGGTTTTTCGGCGATACTTGGAATATAATGTAGGCGATACGCATTGGCTTCGTCAGCGATGCGAACCCACAGCGCTTTTGGCAAGAAGTAGAAAAACATACCAAGAGACGAGGCAGCAAAAGCAGCAGCTGACTTAGTTGGCCCAAATGTGTCATTATCGAGATCGTCAGCACTACCCGGTTGTCGCTCACCTGTAATTAGTGCCATACAGAATTAGTTAGCTCAAATACCACATTATATAGCATACACATTTCTCACCGCTGTGGTTCTCATCATACAAACTTCCAGCCGGACAGTCCAAGCTGACGCATGGCAGCGTCATCTTGTCGAAATAGCTCGCTCTCATCTTCGAATTCGGTGTCAGCCTCGATTTCACTCTCGTACTCGCCGCAAGCTGCTGATGGTATGACATCATCTTCGTTGTCACCTTTGTCGTCGTCTGAAAACGGCTCCGAAGATACGTTGATATCGTCCGTCGCTAAGGGAGCGAACAATACCTCCGTACGCATGGCGTCGATAACCCCTTGGCTGTCAAAGGCATCCACACCAGTGTGACGGCTACTATCACTTGCATTGACACTGGCGTCAAGCTCTGGATCCACCGAAATAGACGCGATGTCGCCTTTTTGTTCTGTAAGCTTCGGATTAGAGCTTTTACCTGATGAATGGGTGGCTTCCGTATCTGGAGCAAATATCGCTGGACTTGAATCCGCTTCAGTAGTATCCGCAGCTGCCATCGTATAAGACGAGTCTGGTTGGGTAGCGTCAGCTTGATTCGCCAGGGTTCCGACGGGCAATTTGCATGCAGCAGCAGCTTGAGTCATCGGGGTTTCAACGATTACGCGAGCAGACGCAGTAACACGTAGTTTTGTTGGGGGGGGCGGTAGTTCCAGCTCAAGCATGTTTGTGCATGCAGCGATTGAGAGCTCGTGACCCAATGGATATCAAATAATTCGTTTTAACCCGAGCGAGCGGGCTACGGAGATGGACACTGTCTTGACTGAGGCTCAGCTGGACGAGTCGTCATACTTTCTGTTCATTCAGACGTCACCTACGGATGCCCATAAGGCACGTTGGAGAGGATGGAGAGCAGCTCACCCTCGAGGAAAGCACTCAACAGAAGGTAGACGCAGTTCGCAGTGCTATCTTCATGCTTGCTGACCATCCATACTTGAAAACAAGCTTATGAAAGATCTTCGCCTTCTCCAAATCCGGATTCGCGAGCAGTTAAGACTGGAAAAGGAGGCATCGATGACCCAGACTTTAATCACTAGTTTTTATGTAGTGGAAAGCTTTGAAATATCAAATTGCATTTAATTTTAGTTTCAGAAAACATCAACTATAGCGTTTCACAGAATTCTCAATCGGTCCGTATCATATATAGAAGGATATCAGCGGTGAGAGGGATCATTTAGGACAGGATATTCTGTAAATATTAGAATACGCTAATAAAATTAATTTAAAGAAAATATTTTGTTGACTCTTAGATGATTAAATAGCTTATGTTCTATTTTATTTGCATTAATACATGGACCGAGAGGCTGTGGGCTAACTTTGCACCATTTGATTCGCTAAAATACTGTAATATTAGCCCTGTATTTTTTTTAAATTTGTTCTAAATCTAAACAAAATAGCAAAAAACAACAGTATAAATCTACTAAGTCATACTACTATACTTAAGTACGTTCTTCTGTAGTACTACTGTAGTACTGTATTAGTACTAAAGTACAAGACCGCATAACCGATCTCATAGAGCGCACCCCATGTACATCAGATCGCGGCCGTTCGTCTGGTGCATAGGATAGTACATGTACACATGTTAACAGAATTTTCCTGTAAAAAATCAAGTTACAGATGACGTCCGTATTTTTGCCAACGGTTGGCCGCGCGCCCATTCAGCGTTTCAGTGTTGGATTGACCCCGTAAAGGGTATTGAGGGGGGATTTCATGTCCTAGCAGGGTTGTCGCCATTATGGTTAATGATCCATCCAACACGAAAAGGTCAGTACGGCTCTATCTATTTGGTCAGTCACAACGATTATCTAACTGCGCGTGCGTGTCTGTATAGGTCCCCCAATACCTACTGCTGTAGCTTAAGGGAAAAGTTCCCTTTGTGGGAGGATAGAGTTTCGATTCCTCTCAGCAGTCTATTCTTCGTTATCGACAAGCTACACTACCACAACAAGGTCTTCATCTACGTCAGCCGCCTCGATGTCCCTGGATGGATCAATGCTCTCCGTTGCCACGCAATGCTGCTGCAGGATCTCGATCAGCTCGTGCCAACTTGGCTCTTGAGAAGCTTCGCGTGCAGCGGCGATGGCGTGACGGTATCGCAGAGATCAGTCTTTCGGAAGCCCGCAGTGATAGTAGCGCTTGACAGGGAGGCCCACACGCTTTTGATCTAGCTGACGATGTTGTGGCGCTCCGGTGCCGCCATCTTGAAAGCCACGCCAGCTCCAGCAGCTCTAACTTGTGATAATAGAAACCCAATCCACTCCTTTCGCAAATGGTTCTTGAACGGTCGATTCCATGCAACATCAGCAGGCTGGCACACATACGTATACCCTGGTGTAATCTTCATCAGGTGCACGTTGAGAAGCCGAGCAAAGATCATCACATCTTTGCGCCAGTGTCCAGAGAAGTCATCCCACAACAGGAGGACTGGCTCGTGCATATTGGCTCGGTGACCAAAATGCCAAGCCAAAACGTCGATGGACAGCTCGATATTCCACCAGCCGGCGCCGTTAGTGTAGATGCGAGTGCCGCGCTGCAGGCACTTGAGTTCACGCCTAGAGTCTGCGCCCAAAGCCATGGCGGATTGCCACGTCCTCGCGTGCCGTCTCCGGGACGCTGGACGGCTTGGTCTTGAATACGATAAACGGGTCCATCTTGGTGCCATCACTAGCAGCTAGTAGCATCACAGTGGCACGTTCATTGGTCTTTCCAGCACACTTGATCCACACGGTCTTGGCACCGCGGCTAGTAATTGTGCGTGACGGCACATACGCGTAGTTTACAGCTGCATTATACTGTTAGTGATCCATATGAACTTGATAAGAGAGTAGTAAACCCACCTGTCTGGTCTGCATTGTAGAGTCGCCTCACCCCTAGCTCTTGCATCTTGGCACGGACTTTCCTGCTAAACTCCTCAGCTTTCTTGGCAGCGTCTGCCGGTGTTGTTTGTCCCTCGCGAGTGCGGCGACGGATAGACAACTTGTGGCGGCGGAGAAAATGCTTTCTCCAGCTCCAAGACGCTGCAAAAGCAGCCGATGACGAGCTGCTGCTCCGGTAGACTTCCTGAGCTTGCAGCTTGAGCATCAAGGCTGTCACGGGTACGCCGTCGGCTCTAAGTGAGTTTATCCACCGCACCAACTGCTCCTCTGTCTGCACGGAAAGTGTCGTGCTCAAGCCGGCGCGACGGTCACGCTGGTGAAAGCGGGCACCTTGGTTGCACTTTGTCTCGATCACCTGTCTAGCCTTCTTCCAGGCATACACCTGGCGCTTTTTCGTCTTTGCCTCAGCAGAGGTGACTCCTGGAAAGAACAAGTCTACAGTATTAGCCATAGTTGACGTATCTAAGTGCTTTAGAACCCTCAATTTGTAGTCGTAGGAGACAGCAGTTCGTTTGTACTGCTTCGGACGAGATCCAAAACCGGTCGTACGCGGCCTTCCCACAATCGCCATCTTTGCCAATGCAAGATGAGAAATGAACAAGCAAAAGGAAGCAGGCATGCATTGTTAATTGATGGCTGGGACGGGGTGTGCTTTATCAGATATTCTACAATGTAAATTTCAATAAAATCGGGTGTGCTTTATGAGTTATGTTTATCTTGTTGCCAACACCTGAAGATCTGATTGGCTTTCGCTGAGTACGCTTTAAGAGATATGTGCGCTCTATGAGATCGGTTATGCGGTACGCTGAACTTCGCAAAGACATCATGACGAAAAGTTTCTGGTGCCAAATTGAAAAATGAAAAGTCTTCGCTAGGTCGTCATTTTTTAACCGAGTGGCGTATAAACTTGTAGAGACGTATAACTTGCTATCGCCTTTTCAATGGTGCTACATGTACTGATAGCGCATCCTTGACTCGGGTCAGTGACAACAACAACAACTGTGTGTAGCCATAATACAACGGTAGTATTGTATGACTTGAGTTTGTAATTATATTTTCGGACACGGTTTAGACAGGCAGCCCGCTCTTACAAATTACAATCTACAAATTACAATGTATAAGCGGGCTGCCTGTCAAAACCGTGTCCGAAAATATAAGCTGCATGTCTAAACCGTACACGTACTGTACATGACATGTTTCCGGACGGAGGAAGAAGTATTTACCAATCGTCCTAAACCCAGATATTAGTACATACTACTGATGTTACGGTGGAGCTGCTCTTTACAAAAAGAGCAGCGCTTATTGTCGAGCGAATAAAATACTACTACCACCAAGACTTTTTCACCATAGCAAAGGAAGTACAATCTACGTAGTATTAACTAGCTTGAAGAAAAGGGTGAAGCAAGAAAAAGGAAGGAAGCACTTGTTGCCAGCTAACTGTGCATTCCGTAGACATATCGAAGCCACAACTGCTTTATGTGAACGCAATGTGCTGTTTCTTGGCCGGCATCTGGGCCTCGTATCCGGGGAAGTCGTAGTCAATGCCGAGTGCCTTGAGCACCTTGCGTTTCTGCCTCTCTTTAGTTACAAGACGCTTGTTGTTGACGACGGTCTGCTCGTACGACTTCTCGGCGTTGTGGCGGTTGCGGTTGATGGCCTGCCGGGGCAGCGGCTTAAACTCCTTGTTGGCGCCGACAAACATGTGCTCGTGCACGGCGTGCGAGGGCACGATGTGGCACGAGAGCGTGTGGTCGAACAGTCGGTACTCGTTCATGGTGTTGGCCACAATCTGCGCCACCTCGGGCTCGTCGAACTGGATGAAGGCGTAGTGCTTCGAATTGCCTGTGCGCTTATTGCGCGAGAGACGCACGCGACGCACGACGCCGAACTGCTTGAAGAAACCCAGCATCTGCTTCTCGTAGAAGCCGTGCGGGACGCGGCCGAGATAAATAACGTTGGAAGGCTGGTTCTTCTTCTTATCGGCCTGCTTCTCCTTGACGAGTGCGGCCGCATCTTTCTTGCGCTGCATCTTACTCTTACGCTTCTTGCCGGTGGAGGAGCTGGCAGCGGCCTCCGCAGCCGTAGGAAGCGTCACCAGGTCATTGCTGGCGTCAAACGTGTTCGAGGCGGTGTTCGTCGTCTCGCTGTCGCTGTCCGAGTCCCACTCGTCGCCCTGCAGCTTCTCCAGCTGCGCCGCAATCTTCTTGCTTACCATGGTCAGTGCTGTGTGTAGGCCGCTAGAGACTCGAGTGGAGTGACAAGAAGTCGGAAATTGATTGGAGCGCAGCCTGACCGAGTATACGTACGTATACCTAGAGCTTAACATGTATACTATGAAATCAAATCGGCGTGGCTGGATAATCATTTTTCTATCCGGATGGCTACATGTTGAAGAGCTATTCTTGCCTCTCTACGTTTACGTGCTGGTTTTAGAAGTCCAAGTCTTGCGTGGCACTTGAAAACTAAGGCTAGAGAAGAGAGGTGTCAATAGACGATGACCAAGGAACTCCACCCGCTAAGTATGCGACGGACGATGGTCAAAAGCACTGTCGGTCACGTGCAGCGTACGACTTACGACTTGCCGGACGCCAAGAATCCGTATCACGTGTACGGCTACGAGATTCCACGAGACCCGGAAAACGCTGGACAAGTTATCGGCAGGTGGGTGCATGCCACACCGTCACCTGCGACGACGACCGGACGCAGTTTCATTGAGACCAATCGCCAGGCTATCATTCACGGGTGAGCACGACAATATTGTTTGGCCAGCGCAATACGCTAACGTGAAGGGGCTGGTCGTGTAGATGCGTGAGCGCAGGAGAAAATCGCAGGTACGCTAACGAGCACCCCGGCATTGCGGTTAAGCCTGCGGCGAAGTGCAAAGGCGGTTATGTGCCTACGAACGACACCACCTTCGGCATCAAGTCAAAGTGAGTCTCGCGGATTGAATAAACTGCCTTTGTCTCGAGTAATAGCTAATAATAATGTGCACAGGGAGTCCGAAGACATTTGGGGTCTGATTCAGGCTAGATACACTTCGTTTAGCAATGACGACGCCTACTATCCGGATCTCGGCTCTATGAAGACTAGGGGAGTATGTGTGTAAACTTTTCTTCTTTAAGTTATCACCTACTAATATTAACGTCTACAACCACTTAGAAACTACCACTACCTCGAGAAACCCGCTGCTCTGTTGGCAAGGACATTCGCAATTATCCCAGGGCTTCGCAACGAGAACCCTTCAAAATGACCAAATTCAAAGCCGTCGGACCCACTCTCTACACACAACCCAACGCTCGCAAACCTGGAACAGAAGAAGAAGAAGAAAAATGCCAGTGCCAATGCGCCGACTGCGAGTACACGGAGGACAATTGAGCTTCTCATCAGCTTCAACTTCATATCCGTCTCTAATTGGTCAATAAAACTCCACTTTATCAGCCAATCCGCATATCACTTTTCAATCAGCGTGATGGCGATGCGCTTGTTGCGCCCCCTACTGCTGCTCGGTCTGCTCCCCGCAGCCTCCTGCACCTCCACCTCGGTGCAGATCCGCGGCGTAGCCCCTTCGGACCAGACCACGTACTTGTCTGCTGATTTTTCGTGCGGTATAGGCGGAAGAGCCACAAACCTTCCCACCAGTAGAGTGAACGACGACTTCTGCGACTGCGACGACGGCCAGGACGAACCGGGCACCGCCGCCTGCTCGCACCTGACAAACGCCAAATTCCACTGCGAGAACGACGGGTTCTTTCCGGGAAAGGTAAAGAAAATTGAGAATTATTAGCTGATATTTGAAGCTTATTCTTTTTATTATGTTTAGATTCATACGTCGCGGGTTCACGACGGAATTTGCGACTGCTGCGACGGATCGGACGAAGAAATAAACGGCGCGTCTCCGTGCACCAATACGTGTGCAGCTGCTGCCGCTAAGCACCGGAATGAGGCGGAGCAGTGGCTGGCAGTGGTCAAAAATGGGTTTGAGAAGCGACAGGCGACGATTAATGGGGAAATCACCGCATACTTCGACGGAGCACAACAGGCCGAGACGACGACACAGAAGGAGCTTGCAGGACTGAATTTGCTGAAAAACAGAGTGGCAGTACACAAGGACCGCGAGGAGCTGAAGGAGAAAAAGTATCGAATGGAAATCGCGAGACACAAGCAAGCGGAAAGTCCTCAAAATGAAGAAACAAGCAAGCAGCAGTTCTCTGATGCGAAAGAAAAAGAGACCATTGAAGCGCTGGACTTTGAAGAGCTTGATGCTGTTCAAGTGGCCGACGGTAATGTGCCTGTGAGCTCGGCGGAAGATGAACGCGCGTCAGAGGTTTTGGACTCGAGAAGGGAGACTGTCAAGAGCCTCATTGAGTTGCCGGATGGCACGCGGATCCCTCTGGCGGATTATCTGCGCATGAACCACAACAAACAACCATCTACCAAGAAGTTGTGCGCGTTATTTTATTGGTGGCGAGCAGGATATCGTGATCTAACTAAATGTCTCTTGTGTATTCGCAGGAGGGCTCCTCGCACAGCGGAAGAAATGCGACGAGAAGATTTCCTGGGACCTTTGCTTAACGGCGGAACTGAAGGTCGAAAGAGGATTGGACTGTACGCGCTGCGGACGTTCGGTAAGCTTACGAGCTGCAGATAATGCTGTTCGAGTAGCAATCTAACCGCGCGACTATTGTCCAATAGGTATCGTCGTTTCCCCTGTCCGTGCGCTAGTTGAATTAATAGTATTCGCTCCTAGAACGCTGTGGAGTGTGCTGTCAACGCCTGAAGTTGCCGGCTCAATGATCGACAAACTGCCGGACTTGCCGTACCCATCGCGCTCGATCTGGTTCCGCCAACTAGGTGGAGGCAGTGTCTATGATGGATACAGCTCGGCGATGTGGGGCGCCCGGGTTGTGTGGGATGCACCGGTGTATGCGTACCACTATTTATTGTAAGCTGTCGTTTTGCTGTGTGCTTTTTGGAGCTGAAAAAGTAACGAATTTGTTGTGTTTCCAAGCCCGACGCTAGATGACGAGTTGAAATTACCGGTGGCGGAGTCATTGCGGAAGGTTTTGCGCGAAATTGATGCTGACATCGCCAAGCTGGAGAAAGAGCAAAGTGACAAACACGAAGCTGCAAAACTGGACTACGGTCCAGACCGCGCGTACTTTGCGTTGAAGGATAAGTGTATTGAGAAGCGCATTGAGGTATGTCAATGCTTATTGTAGAACATCAATGTCCCCGGTTAATATTGTATTTTGTGTGTGTGCAGAAATACCAATACAAGTTCTGTGCCTTTGGAGACGTCAAACAGGATCATACAAAACTAGGCAAGTGGGATGGCTGGGCCGCCGGGGATGAAAGTACTGACAAGGTGGATCACACGAAGATGCGGTTCTCGAAGGGTCAAAGATGCTACAAGGGCCCTGAGAGGTGAGTTTCGGGTTTGTTGCGTTGCGTTGATTTCAGTTTTGCCTGACACAAACATCATGATTCGCTTGTGGCTAAGATCCGTGCTGGTACACCTCCAATGTGGCAAAGAGGACGAGATTCTGAGCGTTGATGAGCCATCTACATGTGTGTACGAGATGACGATTAGCACGGCTCTGGCCTGTACAACTAAAGTGCTTGCTCAAGCACAGAAAGATGTTGCATTTTGGTCACGAGCGCATTAATCAATCATGCAGACTGTATTAATAGCTGCAATAATTTCAATAAAAAATTCTTGCCTCACTTTCTGCTTACTCAATTATTTTCGACGGGAATTTTCATAAATCAGTAGCTTCCTACTGACTTTTTGCAAGACACACCTATCTTACTATTTTCGGGTTTGCTCGCTATTTTCGTAATAGCAACCGAGCTGTCCCGCCCAAAAGAGGGAGACCACGCATGACACATCGGCGCTTAAGTAGCTTATCTAAAAAGCATTTTAGATGCCATCGAGTCTAAAGTTTCACCTTAAAAAGAAATGGCGCTTTGATTTACGCCTTAAAGAGCTGCCAGCGATCGAGAGGCTGTATAAAAGGTAGTCAATGTTCGCAGCAATTAGTTTTTTTCTGCTGCAGCAAGTCAAACTTTTTCGGCGCTCCGATTGAGTGAAATATTTTTGAGCGTCCAGAGTCAAAAGTCGCGCAAGTCGGGCAGCAGCAGCTACATTTTTTTTTCGGCGATCTGCAAGGAGAACAGTGGCAGATCCACTCGCAGACCTAAATGGCGCCGTGCAAGTGGAAGGCATGCAATCGCGTTGCGAAGGCTACAACTGATGAATCGTCATTACTATCGTGTGGAAATAAGGGATGTGAGCACATCATACATCGCAGTTGCTTGGCTGCAATTAGGGTTGAATAGTGATAGTAAAGTGCATAGTTTAATAATACAAGCACTTCTGCTCGGTGCTGTAAAGTGCAATGCACTTTTCGATCGACCACTCACACAGCTATTTTTAGAGCTTGTATAATTACTTTAAATCATGTACGACTACATGTAGCGGTCACGTTGGTGAGCAATGTGTGAGTATTCCAAGCAGCCGTGTTTAGTATTTCTGTTCTACTACAAAGTACTTCAGTACTATTTAGCGCACGAGCTGCAACTCATTCGTCGTGCTCACCGAAGAAGCTGTGGAACTGGTATTGCTGTCGGCACCACCGCTTCTACCAGCACGTGGGCAATGTCGATCATTGACAGCATGTTCCAGGTCGAACTCCAGCTCCTCGGTGACTGCAGCTTCATCTTCGACAAGATCCCCGACCCCTAGCTCATCTTCGAAAGCTTCGACTTCAATATTGTTTAGCCAAGGTGTCGTAAATGTCGTACTTGCGCTTGGGCCCTTGTCACCCATATTCGAGTAAATGAGCACTAGCATCAGCACAGTCTCCAAACTGAGTTGATTTCATCGAGTGGATGTAGTCGTCTGTGCTCCACGAGCGCTCCGCAGCTGCTGACGAGGCTGGGATGGCGAACACTCTGTGTGCTATCTTGGCCAACGTCGGAAACATCTTAACATGGGTGCCTCACCAGCTAATCGGAGGGTATCGCGTCTGTTTCTCAAGCTCTTGCAGGGGGACCACGACTCTTTCATTGTGACGAAGCGCCCGATCTCGTCTCGCAGGAGAGTGAGTTCCCTCTCGTCGAACATGAAAACATCGAAATACGGCTTATGTGCCACCTTGGGAATTGTCACTCGGACCTCACTTCACAAGCGGTGTGGGCGCCTCGGCATGTTCTAATCAATCATAATCGCAAGTAAACTGCCGTTAGCACCACACATCCGTACAAATACTCATCGTACTGTTGTCACGCTCGGGAGCGACGCTGTCCAGGACAGTGTCCTTTTTGTTGCGCGCGTCTAAGTTGAAGTGAGTACGGACATCGACACAGCCTAAACTTTAGAATATCTTCTGCCAGAAATTCAGAATTTAGTCGCCATGCAAAACTCAGATGCACTTTTGACGCACTTTTGAGATAACCCTTTTGCTACCAAAACTAACGAAAGCTGCATGTTTTGAAAGTAGGCGGCAAATCCTTCATAAAATAAATAAAACTTGGTGGTTTTATAAAGCACGTCATGTGGTATTTCTCTGGCTAAGATACTGACCCTTTTAATTATGGCCAATGGCGTTACGAATAAGTTTCACCTTTGCTCAAAATGGCTCGACATATTTTCCCCAATCAGCAGCCAAGCGCGAAACGACGTTAAACACGCAGGAAGTGTAGTTTTTGTTTTTGATGGCTAGTGAGCCATTGTAATTCCCTTTCAAAGTGAAAGACGCCAGTGCGGTATATGTCAGCAAAATCAGCAGATTGTGTTGATTTTACGAATATGTTAGCTTTTTTGTATACAATTTACTTGACCTGCTATAGGAAGTAAAAATGCTAAACCTTATAGTGCATTACTTTGCAATTGTGCACGAAGCGCCTGTACTTCACTTTTCAGCCCTAGCTGCAACCCTCTCAGCGTTCGGGGCCGAAGAATCGCTCGACTGTAGCGTCTGCGGAAAACGCTGTTACAATGCTGTTGTGAAGACCCGTAGGGTAGCTTTGATAGAGCAGCCTGCTAAGAAGAGAGTTCCGTGGCACAACGATGGTCCAGATTCAGGCGTCAGCTTGTTAAGTGTATTGATTAAGTGGTTAACAAACAGAAGCAACTACAATCGCTACAGGGGAGGAGAGGGGCAAAGTGGCGAGACCAAGCAAACTCTAGCAGCTGAGGTCGTGGATGCTATCGCAGACAGTGAGGTGTCCACTGTAAGATCACCAAAGGACGTGATGAACAGAATCCTCGGCCTTAAGACCAGCTTCCCTTCGGCTTCTGATTGGTTAGCCAACACTGGCCAAGGTGTGGATTCGGAGAGGAATTTACGAGCATCATTCAGACACTCTGAATTAAATAGTAAAGACTTCCAGGGGTTCCCTCGACGCCTGTAGTTAGTTGGTCTGTCGACATACCGAGATCCAAGCACGTTCTCGTAGACTTGTGCGTAGGAAAGGTCCAGCTCGTCTTCACTTTAATCGTCCACATCAATAAGATACCGTACGACCGACGCAGTGCTCCTTTCTTCGACGACGACGTGCTCTCGGAGTGTAAGCTGCCTAGTACTGTGGCGTGGCATCATCGCAGAAAATAGATATTGCTGCTGCGGAAAGCTGAATGGAATGGTCAATTGCCCGCATTGCGATTGGATAAAATTAAATTCTGGCGAGCCGCCAAAATAATCTAGCACTGATAACCAGGGCTGTGCAGTAATCCGGCCCACCAGTAGAAAATAGTACTATAGTACTATTACTTCTACTATAGTACTCAGTAACTCGGCCAATTTTGATACTACTGTTACAGCAGTACTCAGTAACTCAGATTGGAGCTCGGATAGTACTATCGAATTACTGCCAAGATCCAGAAGAAGAAGGAACACGCTCCGTTTTGACCACCACACTGGATTTCCGAATGGCTTGATCACTATGCTGTATGCGGCATCGGTATGTCTATCGTGTCATGTTCCCGTCGTTTTCTTCACTCGAACACGACGGGTTTGCAAGTTGAATGGCTGCTGGTGAGCCTTCAAGCACAATTGCAAAGTAATTTCGTTCAGCGAGTCCTGTTCGGGTCTGATGCGCAGGCCAGTCTCATTTACTTGAGATCTGAGCGAGCTTTCACTCACTTTGCGATTTTCATTGCAACCCAGACTTCCTTTCCAGCCCGCTCAACGCCTCTCTCGCGCCAATGAAGTGCTCTTTTGTTGGATGTGACTACTCCGACATCGCGGTAACGGATCCTTGCTCCGTTTGCCAAAGGCCGGTCCATCATCTCTGCTCTAACAGCCTATACGACCCGGACAACATCGCCGTGCGGTAAGTAATCTTTAAGCATTATAGATATTCTATGGTTGAATTCACTTTACTAACAAATGCGCTATAGATTTTGCAGCGCGTCGTGTGTCACGAATTGGAGAGCCAAGAATCTGTCTGCGGGGACTGTTGCTGCGGACGATCGGCGACATACCTTCGAGATTGTAGGGTGGGCGCCTGAATCATCTCAAGAACTTGCCGTTAGCCAGGACTCTACGGATACGACGGAGCTAATGAGCAGCCAGTCGTCGGAGGCAACGTTGCCGCCCGACAGTCCTGTTGGCGTGGACTCATACGGGATCCCGATTGATGTGCATCACTTCCGTGACCTGGTAAACGCGATAACGTGTGGGACGTGGCACATGTACTCGCAACTTCCTATGCGGTGGGTGATGATGATGATGCTGAGCGATTCACCCATATATGCATTCTGTGTGCGGCAACCGCCACCAGCCAGGCAAACCACCCCGGAGATGCGTGGATGAGCGGGCTTCGGCGTTGGAGTCACACTTCCAATGCCAAGGACCACATGGTCTCAAAACATGGCAAGCATCCGGTCGGTATGGCTGAGATGCAGAAGCGAGTCAAGCGAGCTCGGAACCAACTTGAGTCGACCCCTGGATACTTGTCTCGGAGCATTGTCGACTCATCTGCCCACTTGTCGTCCCAAGCGCCGATGGCAAAACGAGGTGCACTGCAAAGGCTATGGGGCCCGACGGCAAAGGAGCTTAACGTGCACATTGCCAGGTGGTTGCTCAATGACGGTCTACCGTACAACACGGTGGTAACAGAAGACTTCCGCAACTTTGTTCGCTTGATTTCGGGGAACACTACCGTTCTCGCCCAGAGGACCTATTATGGTATGATGGATGCCTCGTTCGAACGGTTTTGTTTCTTGACAGAAGGCATGCTGTCCGCTGAATTCAGGGCCTCGTACAACCTGCCCTTCCTCAATGTGCTGCATGACGGCTGCACCACCGGAAGTGGTAAAAAGGGGCTAGTCGGAACTTCTGCAAGTTTCATTGACTTGAGCTGGGAGTTCGTCAATATCGCGCTGTTGGTCACCGTGTACAACGGCTCACATGACTCGTGCAAGATCAAGACGCTGATCACTTCTAGGATTAAAGAGTTCTACGGGATCGACATCGAGTTAATGGCGCAATTTACGATGTCTGATACCGCGCCTAGCGCCAAGAAGGTCTCGAAACTATTTGAGGACTCGCTACCGACGGACTGCACCATGCATGTCTTGAATCTGTGCCTTGTATACGGTATGGGCATGCGGGAGAACTATGAGACTGTCTATCTGCTGGACCCCACGACAAACAAGCCGAAAAAGGAGCGGCGCTTGTGCACGGTTGGCGGACCATTTCCGGAGGGAGCCACCTTGATCAAGAAGGTTCGAAGTCTGAACAACTACTTTAACTCACCGCAAAGGGCTGAACGTCTCGCCAAGGTGCAGCAATTCTATTGTCTCCCCGAGCTGAAACCAATCGTCGATTGCGACACTCGCGTAGCATCCTCCGTAACTCTTTCCAGCGCACTATCCTCAATTACCCCGCGCTCAAAGCATATTTCCAGCACTGTGAGAGTTACGACGATCCGGCCGTATTCGAAAAGTTCACACTCAGTGAGTGGAGACTGTTGGTAGAAGTTGAAGCGATCACGCACTCGTTGGCTGACCTCGCGCGCATTGACGTACAGCGCAGCAACCAAGTCTCATCAGAGCTTATCGTTTTGATGAAGTATGCGCTTGACCGGCTCGCCACAGACACATTCCACATCTACGATCTCGACGCTGCGAGATCACCAAAGACAAACGAGAAGTCACTTCCCCGTAACGATGTTCAGATTGACGCACTCTCAGACAAGGCCATGATTTGTGTGAACCGGATTAAGGGGCAAGTTATGAAGAGGCTGTCCACGCTTACGGCTGAGTCGGTGGTTATCTTGTTGCTCGACCCCCGAACGAAGTTCACGGTCGACAGTCTCATTCATCCTCCAAAGCTACGCCAAGAAGCCGCCGTTGGTAGGGTTGTCTCTGGTGAAGGCTCCGATGATACCGCTGAGCTCGCAGAAGACGCAGGTGATGTGGATACCGTTATAAGCAAGGGCAAGCAAATGCTTCGCAACGCACACCGAGAAGTTTTTCGGGCAATCCACGGCTCCAACACGAATAACAGCCTGCACACGGATGTGGATACACCACCGAACCTGGACTTGGTACCGTCGGTTGACGACGAGTTAGTGATGTGTGGCGCGCCATTGGTTGCTTCATCTTCAAGCAACACGCCTGTGGCCAGCCTTCACGACCGAGCCGATGAGGTCCTTGCGAAGTGGTACCAGCACAGTGTGAACTGGGTACCCGTTGCGCTCCAACAAGCATCGGACGACCAGTTGACGGAAGCAGACTTCACCAAGTTACTCCTAGTCCGACGCAGAAACGACGTTTGCTGGAACTTGCAAGCTCTATGCGAGCACATCGACATTTGCCATTGGTACCGTGAGACTGGGGCTGCAACATTCCCGTCAATTGCTGCTCTTGCCCGTGTATGGCTAGGCCGGAGCCCCTCGAACGCCCTCCAAGAGCGTGTCTTTTCAACGGGAGCCTTTGTCATGGGACCTCTACGTACAAGCACAGACAAGCGTCGAGCTGAGATCCAGGTGCTGATGAAGCACAACCGTGCGGAGATTCGGCGAATGGAACATGCGAGCATCCGCGTTTGCGAGAAGATTGACCATGCAGCGTCCCTCTAGTTGGTCGAGCAGCGGGAGCACAAGCGAGAGTGTGGACCGCACAAGCGAGAGTGTGGACCACACTTGACAATATTAAGTTGGTCGTAAGCAGTAGTTAGATAGTACTACAGTACTTCTACTAAGTAGTTCAGACGCCGTGAATCGAGTTACTGAGTACTGCAGTAGGTTTTAGCTTTGCATCCTTCTACTGCCGCCAGTACTTTGGAAAAAGTGGCAGTACTGCACAGCCCTGCTGATAACATTGACGACCCCTAATAACCATCGTAATAAATAATTGATAAGGTCTGGCTAAAGCTCCAAATACTGCTCACGCAATTGCCGAAAATAACTAACTAGCCCGAAAATAGCCTACTTGGTGTGGCATGCAAATAATCAGCAGAAAGTTACTGATTTATGCAACATGACACTGACATGTGAGGAATTTAGACTGACATGTATTGTCACAATTCACATCCCGTTTTCTATCATGAGCTGGGCTTCTTAATTTGCGTGAATCACGAGTGCGCCGTAATGTGCGTAAACTCACTGTACTGTAGCCGTCTGTAATACAGACTGTAAGTTACTGAACGCGCACCATCAGTGATTGCGAGGTACAGTGCAGTACAGTACCAGTAAATCTGATCCGATGCCCTAGGCATTTCACAGGAGCTTACTGTGTCTTTGGTGAGCTCCGGTGTGCAATGCAAGGCAGTAGCTTGGCCTTGTTGGTGCTAGTGATCCACACGGTGCTCCTTTCCCTGACTTGTTCCTTCTCCTTCTCTTCGTTGTTTGCGAATGATGCTGACACATCTTCTGTAGCAAAACCCACTTCTCAAAACAACTCTGTGGTCGACAATGACAGCCCAAACGTGCCAGTACGACAACCTCTCTTAGATGCTACCGACTGGTTCCTCACAGAAGAGGAAATTACGGATTCACGCGGTGGAGTGCCACGGGATGGCTTGGCAGTATACACGACTGGCAACAAGGTGACATCTCTCACGGTTCCAAACGAGTTTTACGATGCCACTTACGACGATTTCACCGCTACGAAAGCGGGGGACCGTATTTTGCTCTCAGCATGGGAAGTGAGTCTAGTTCCGCTCAAACCCGACATTGACCCCAAAGGCGCAACAACGGGCGTTCATGAAATGGTAGCCGGAGTCGTGGAACGAGGTGGAAGTTTTCACATCATGGGCTGGTCCAATATTCTGCATCGGCAGATCAATATTGAAGCGCGGAATGATATCAACAAGATCCCACCGTCGAAGGTTAACGGAGCTCAAGCGTTATACATTTTCGACGACCGCGTACGCACGATGACCTCGTCACATCACCAAAAGGCGCTGGTTTTCGCGGTCAACATTTCGTCAAGCAAGAGTGACCAGCCCATAGCTTACGTTGGTGGCCTGGACTTCACTAAGGATCGATGGGATACCATTTACCACAACAACTCGGCGATACGAGATGCTGCTGGAATTACGTATGAACGCAAAGGCTGGATAGATGCTCACGTCCGAATTCACGGACCTGCTGCTAAGGATGTGGCTAGCAATTTCCTGGCTCGATGGAACTCAGACTACTTGCCATGCCAAGGTCTAGACGACGACCTACTTGAGTATGTGAACCCAACGTACGAGAAACTACCTCCGCTGGACTACGCCAGCAGCAATACTACAGCGAAACTGGGTAAGCAGAGTGTACAGATCGTCCGAACATTTAGCTGCAAGTACAAACATTACAAAGAGTTTGCTCCATACGGAGAGAACTCGTTGTTTCAAGCGCGTCTCAAGGCCATCAGGAACGCGAAAAACTACATTTACATCGAAGATCAGTATTTTATCCTCGTTCCGGAATTGCTCGATGCTCTGATGGAAGTGATGCCAAAGATCCAGCGGCTCATCGTCGTGGCGAATGCTCTAGATTTCAAGTTACGAGCGACAGGATACGAGAAATATCTGTACGACATGGTGTCTCCTCTTCTGGAGGCCTTCCCGAACAAGTTCAACCTCTACACGACGAAAAAGAAGCTGAACATTTACATTCACAGCAAAATAGTAATCATCGACGACGTGTACTTGTCTGTTGGCTCGTCGAACTGGAACCGACGAGGTATGACGTCGGACTCGGAGATGAACGCGAATATTGTGGACACCAATACGGTAAACTCTCCGGATGGGGTCATTGTGAACAAATTTGCTCGAGACTATCGTATTCGGAAATTTCAGGAAATGACGGGCCTGAGCTACGAGGAACTGGAAGCCATGACGCTGGTAGAAGCTTTCGATAGCTTTGAGGCGGCGGCCTCCGATGCATCGACGATACTTGGCCACTTGGAGGTCTCCTATTCCGCCTATTATCTTGCGTTTACTAACTTCATCCGCCAAAGTGTGGATCCGCAGGATACATGCACGTGATCCGTTTATAAATACTGCTTTTTCGAGCACAACCCACTCCGTTTTAGGCACTACTGGTATTTGTACTACGCAAACGACTAAGATCATCCACACTTGCTTAAGAAATGCTGTAGACTACAATGTAGTAGTAGTAGTATTGTATCTAGCTACAGTAATACAGTAGTAGTATCAAGCTACAGTACTACTACAGGTAGTATTTCTAAAGCAGTGTGAAAGATTAGTTCTGTCAGGTCAGGGGAGATGCTCTCATCTAATGGTAAGTATTTAATAGCTCAGTCAGGTAGCCTTACTGCTGGCCTCGTATCTAATGACATTATCTATTGACATTATCTAATGGTAAGTAGCTCAGTCAGGTAGCCTTACTGCTGCTGTCGTATCTAATGACATTGGACTAAGGTTACGCAGCTCAGTCAGGTACATGTAGCCGAACTGCTATCGTCAATTGACACGGTACCGGTATGAAACATCGGTACTTCGAATGAAAAACATCCTTTGAAAAAACATTTTTAAATACTGCAAAAAACACTTTCTCTTTAATTTATTTTTATGACTATCAGAGGAGTGATTACGACTTTTAGAATAGTGACAGTTCCCCGTTAATGTGACCTGCCAGTCAACGACTGGCTCTGCTGCGTTTGCTCCCTTGTTGTAGCTGCAGGTCAATCACTATTGGAATTGTCGCCGTAACTCCGCGTTCGCCTACACTTCTTCCGCCTCTTTCGTCATGGCTTCTGTTGCTGCCAACCGCCCCGTCGTGTCCGTCCTCTCTGTGGAGGGCGAGACCGCCACCGTCGCCTCGCAGGTGGTGCTTCCGGCCGTGTTCACGGCCCCCATCCGCCCTGATGTGGTGAACTTCGTGCACACCAACATGGCCAAGAACCGTCGCCAGGCGTACGGTGTCTCGCGTGAGGCTGGCCACCAGCACTCTGCTGAGTCGTGGGGCACGGGCCGCGCTGTGTCGCGTATTCCGCGTATTCAGGGCGGTGGCAACCAGAGCTCTGGCCAGGCTGCCTTCGGTAACATGTGCCGTGGCGGTCGTATGTTCGCCCCCACGCGTATCTGGCGTAAGTGGCACCGCAAAATTAATGTCAACCAGCGTCGTTTCGCCGTGGCCTCGGCTCTGGCTGCTTCGGCCGTGCCTGCCCTTGTGATGGCCCGTGGTCACCGCATCGAGAAGGTGCCTGAGGTGCCCCTTGTTCTGGACGACTCCGTGGAGGCCACCCAGAAGACGACCCAGGCTCTTAAGGTGCTGGCCAAGATCGGCGCTGATGTCGAGATTGAGAAGGTCAAGGCCTCGAAGAAGATCACCACCGGCCGTGGCAAGTCGCGCAACCGTCGCTACACCACCCGCCGTGGTCCTCTGATTGTGTACGCCAACGGCAACGGCGCCGAGAAGGCCTTCCGCAACATCCCCGGTGTTGAGCTTGCTCACGTGGAGCGCCTGAACCTGCTGCAGCTGGCCCCTGGTGGCCACGTCGGCCGCTTCATCATCTGGACCAAGTCTGCGTTCCAGAAGCTGGACGCGCTGTACGGCACGTACACCAAGAAGTCGGCCTCCAAGGCTGGCTACCAGCTGCCGCGCCACCAGATGAACAACGCCAACCTGGGCCGTCTGATTAGCTCTGACGAGATCCAGTCGGTTGTGCGTGCCGGCAAGTACCAGAAGCACCGTCGCTTCCAGAAGAAGAACCCGCTTCGCAACCTGGGTGCCATGGTCAAGCTCAACCCGTACACGCTGGTGGCCCGTCGCGCTGAGCTTCGTGCTGAGGCCCTTCGTGCCGAGAAGAAGGCGGCTGTGGTCGGCAAGAACCGCAAGAACACGTGCAAGACGGACCCCAAGCGCAAGACCCAGTCGCGTGCTCTGCTCGAGAAGAACGCTTCGGACTAACTACACTGCTCTTTACCTCTACAGCGATGTAGCAACATAAGAAACAGCAATGAAAAGGCCATGAAAGAGGCTTCAAAAGACTCTAGCAGGACTTTTATTTTGTAATTGCTGCAACTACCACTTTAAAGAACGTAGTCGTTCGGTAATGTATTTCGAAGAACGAGAAGTGGAGATAGATTACCGTAATGTATATCCATTCTGATTGGATCACTCAGTTTCTTCGCTCACCATGGGCAAGTGGCTAACAGTGGAGGAGAAGTACCAACTCATCGTCAAGCATCGCCGAAACCCGGGGCTGTCGCAGGTGAAGCTGGCGCAATGGGCCATGGCCGCCTTTAACCAGGAGCGCGCGCCGTCCGCCAACACGGTGAAGAAGATCCTCCTCGCAGCCAATGAGATCGAAGAGAAGCACCGCTTAGGTATCACCAAACGAGGCCGCGACGTAGTCAGCCCTGAGCTGGAATCGTCGCTGAAGAACTTCGTAGATGTCTGCAATGCTGAAAACGTGCGTCTCTCGCGGAAACTATTGGTTCAAAAAGCGCAAGAGTTTGTGGAGGCAATGCCGCTCGAGCGACGCCCGATGCTGAGCCTCTCGGTAGGCTGGATGACGGATTTTATGGCAAGAAACGGAATCAGATTCAGAGAATTTCGACGTCGAAGAGTGGAGGATAATTCCGGGCTAGTGGACACTGTAGTCGCCCCAGAGGGACAACCACAGAGGACGTTGACCGATGTGACAGACCATTTAGCGCTGGCACGCGATACTCCAGGAAGGCAACTTGCTCGTGGGGACACGAGAGTGGAGGTGCCTCCACGAGTGATGGAACGTTTGAGTGGTTTAACCCAGAAGACGGTGCTTATTACGGGGGCGAGTAGAGGCATTGGACTGGCGTTTGCTAAGTACTATATTAACAGGGGGTGGAATGTCATTGCGGCGGTCAGAGATATGAAAAATGTGGACGAGGTGTGTACAGCTAGAGTTTAAGATTACGTTGACTGTCAAAAGCTTATCTCTTCTTTATGTAGTTAAAAGCATTGTATCCGTGGAGGCTGGTTCGGTTGGATGTAGCAGATCAACACTCGATTGAAGAGACGGCGAAGATACTTCGAGGAGTTGCAATTGATCTGCTAATTAACAATGCTGGGGTGTCTGGACTCTATATTCTGAACGACACGACGTCGGAGGACTGTATATGGCAATTTCAGGTGAATGCTCTGGGTCCACTGCTAGTGACACGTGCTCTTCTGTCAAATCTACGGTTAGCAGTGAGTGCAAGAGGGTTTGCATTTGTAGCTCAAGTTACGTCGCGTATTGGCAGCATATCGGACAACAGTTCAGGTGGAGCTTATGCGCATCGCGCGTCGAAAGGAGCTCTCAATGTGTTTACGAAGAGCTTGGCGATTGACTTGGAGCCGCAAAAGATCGGATGCTTGTTACTCCACCCGGGCAATGTCAATACCGCGTACAATAACTTTAACGGGGCTGTGGAGCCCGAGGAAAGTGTCGAGGGTATGGCGCGTCTTATTGATCGAGCGAAACTTGGAGACCCACTACAGCTTCTTCACTTTGGGAAGGGCGACATCATCGACTGGTAGATTCGAGCTATTTACTACAATTACTTTACAGTAATACTAGTAATAGTCATGGTTCCGTTTGTATGGTCGTGTGGCTTGTGATCCAGTCCTGCATGGATCGAGGCATCGCCACAGCCTTTTGCTCGATACCATCCCACAAGAGCAGCTTCTTTTCCTTCCTCGCTTTCCTCGTCATCTCGGCCATCGTCCCATATCTCTCTAGTAGATGGTCGAGGAATGTCTGCGGTGGCTTCACGTGGTGGTGACTCACGTAGTGCCAATACCCTTCGGGCCAGCAGTAAACTCCATCGGTCATCGTACACGCGCCCATAACGCGAGGCTGCTCGAGAGCCAACAAACAGTCGGAGAATCGACAGAAGCTGTAGGCGAGTTCGTGGCTCTCCACAAAAGCCCGAGTAAGGTACCACTCGATGGTCTTCAGCAGAGCAGGATCGCACTCAACGAACCAGGCATCGTCGACGAGGCGAAGAGGATTCGGGCGATTAGCGTCCGAGGACTCTGCGCTGCATCGTTCATCATCTCTCGGGCACCAGAATCCCAACTCTTCCAGCATCGTAATGGGATAAGCCTACGAAAACGCATTGCTTAAATGCAAATTTAACACAGCACGAAGCGATTGACGTACCGGTGACGCAATTCACTCAATCTCACAAAACTGACAGTAATACTGGGGGCCTTCAGAAAATGGGCATTTTGCGTGCAGAAATGCGATAGCCAACAAGTGCATTTGTGACGATATTTGCGATTCAAATTTCTAAAAGAAAATCACACAAATTTGCTCGAACCTAAAAAACAAGTGCATTTGTGACGATATTTGCGATTCAAATTTCTAAAAGAAAATCACACAAATTTGCTCGAACCTCGCCGATGGCAGCGAATACTGCGTTTGCGACATAATCAGCTACGCAATAACGCCGCTGTAGGAAGGTTTTGTTGCACCTTCTTAGAAGTAGCTTTAAGGAGCGGTGTAGCAGAAGATCTACGAAGAAGGGCTTTGTGGCAGCCTTGTAACGGTGGTGTCGCTGCCACCTGCTTCGTTCGAGGTTCTTCTAGCCGAGTTTTCCAAGAACTACACGGTTAAGTGGCGTCCCGGTCAGCGCGGCCGCCCTCCTAAACTACGCTTTCTACAAGCTTAAGCATGTACAGCGTCTCAGGCGTGGTCCACCCCCTCCCTCGGACCATTGCAATGTTTGTTGTTGTGGTGTAATTACAACTACCGAATTATCGTAGTCCTAGGGGACGTTTACTCCTAAGGGTCACCAACGAACCAACCAATCGGATCCTTCGATTGTAATACAGATGGCTCCATTACTTACGATAAGGTTCATTCTAATTTTACTTCGGCGGAAGCTAAAAGAACGGAGCCCAACACCACAAAGAAAACGGAAGGCCGTCGAAAAGTATGGTTCGCCCTCGCATCAATGGACCAGGAAAGAAGCGGAAGACCTATCAACGTAGGGCAGTAGAGTATGCGCATAAGAGAGACGTCCTCGACTACATTGACAGCGGTCACAGCCTTGACGAGACAATTTCACAGTTCTACGGCGACTTAAGTGGCTCCGACATTCGTGCTAAGAAAAAACAAATTCACAAGTGGAGCAAGCAGGCTCCAACTATACGTGCTGCATGGGATTCTGGGCGGGGGTGCCACCGAAATCTGCGCGGACTTGGTGAAGCGACTGTGCTCACCAAGGAGGCTGAACGCGCTATCGTAGTGTGGGTGAATTCGCTGCGGAAAGATGGTGCCCCTGTCTCCCGTCTCATGCTTCAACTGCAGGCAAAAGAAGCAGCTGCAGACATTGGCCTTGAAGGCAAATTTGCAGCCACATCAACATGGGTTAAGCTATTTCTTCGTCGCCATAAATTAGCGCTCCGTGCACGTACCAGGCAGGGACAGACGACGCCACAGGATGCTCAAGATGCAGCTACGACATTTCGAGCGCTGGTGCTGCAGACAATCGTCGAAAAGAAGTGTGTACAAGTATACAATGCTGATCAGACGGGTAATATTTTTTTTATTTTAGTTTTAAAATATTTTTAATGACTTTTCTTCTTGTAGGTGTGAATTTTGAGTATTTACCAAACCAAACCATATCTCAACGTGGAGTGAAAACTGTTTGGGTAAAATGTGCAAAATAAGAGAAGGCTCGAGCTACAGCTATGCTTTTGGCGGACTGGGAAGGCACAAAATTGGCTCCATTCATAGTGTTCAAGTGTCAACCGTCAAAAATTAAGGAAAAAAGGGAAGAGAACCACACTCTGCGCCATGGGTTTAGCCCGACTATGTGGACCCGTGAAATTAATCCACTTCAAGAGCGCTACAATTGTCAAATTTACGGGAACCAGTGCGCATGGTGGAATTCTGATTTGTCTCTGAGATTTCTCAAATATCACTTTGCTGAGCGCACGAACCGAGATGACCACATTTTACTCATATGGGACGATTTCAGCGGGCATTGGACCCCTGAAGTTGAAGAATATGCAGCGTCTATTAACGTTATCCTACTTAAAGTACCGCCGCGTTACACGTACGTATACCAACCGGCAGATATTTCGTGGAATAACCCCCTAAAAACTAGGTTGCGAGGTCTGTGGATCAACCGGCTGAGAGACCAACTTGTTGCGTATCGAGCCAAGGAGAAGCAGCGCCAGGAGAAAAGGGACAAACTCCAGAGAGATATTATTCGTGTGCGCAAGGATCTAGTGCAAGAGGAAGCAGAGTCTGAAGTTGAGCGACTTCGGAAACAGCATACAGAAGAGCCCTTTAAATTGGAGCCCCCAAAAAGAGAAGACATTACGGAGTGGATATCAAAATGCTGGAACGAGCTTTCAGAAAAGACAATTGTTAGTGGATTTGCAAAAGTAGGCATATTGGCTGATACTCGCCGTGCTGAGCAAGATTTTGACTCATATCCGGGACATATTGATAGCGAGCTTGTCCAAGAGCTGGAAAAATGCAATTTAACTGATGGTCATGTCGACTCTGACGATGATATAGAGTCTGAAGCTGGTACCGGTAGTGATAGCGGTAGCGAATGCTAAATACAGTAATTTGCAGTGAATGCTTCGGTAAGACTATGATTTGCATTCATATGTCGGTGCTCACGATTTGCATCCTTTGCTATTGAAGTGACGCCTAGGACTACGATAATTCGGTATGTCGGTGCGGCGCGCGCTCTGATATCCATTTATATTTGATTTGACGTCGTCATTTGATTTTGTGATGTCGCAATTTGCAGAGACTCCAAAACGGTCTCTTCAAAATGCGAGCGATTTAGTGCGACCTACCCCCATAGTTTGCTACAGGGTTTGTGCGAGCGACATTTGGGATCTGCCATATTTTCTGAAGGCCCCCACTGTCAGTAGTACTGTCAGTTTTGTGAGATTGAGTATCAAAATTATTTTGAGAGTAATTATGCGCAATTTAGGACAGAACATTTTTAAACATGCACAATAATAGTGGTTATCACTTTCTTGCAGGGCCCCATTTTGTGTGGCGTGGCAGGCGCCTTACCAGTGAGCCATTCATCTCTAGCGTTCTGCAGTCATGACACGCAGTGAGCGTGCTACAATATTGGAGTGGTTGGGGGCTGTTATGATAGCCAACGAGCTACTGGGCGACACGGACGGCTGTGACGAGGAAGCCATGGTCTACAAGACGGTCAGCAACAATCAATACCTGGAACGCAACCACGTAGAGAAGACTGGAAAGTGGGAGGCACAGCGTGTTGCCAGGAAATAATTCTATACGCGCATAGCGGGACCTACGGATGAATAAACAAACGTTTGAGCTCTTGCTAGAGCGGCTCCGTTCGCACCCTGTATTTTTGCGGTCCCCGGAGAAGCAAAAGCAAGCCCCTTTCCAGCTGCAGCTCGAGGTGCTCCTGTATTCACTAGCATAGAACTTGGACTTTAAACCCGTCGTGTAGTCCTTGATGTTTGTGCCAAGGAAACGTATAAGAACATATTCCTCCGACTCAGACCAGCGTTTGCTCCCCATGTTGACAAAGGAACTGTGCTTGTTGCTGTGTTGGTCAGCGCCATTCAATGCACCGTTGAATTTCTGCCACTATAACCACACCTATTACTTCTCGAAATAGCCAATAAAAGCGCTGCACTGGTCTTCCTTATAAAATTTCCTCGTTTTAAAGGAAAGTTTTTGCAGGTTTGAAGGCTTGCTCTGATTGGGTGACAATTCTTTTTTCTTACTTACTTTCCAACCGTATTGTATCCATGCAGAAAAAATGTTCGGGTTCAATTTGACGTTCGACGCTTGCATTAAATGCAGAGCAAATTTTGCTCTTCCCTACATGCTTTGAGGCCTGTGCACCGCAGTGATGCCACAAAACCCCTGTACAGTACATGCTAACGCACTGCGTATTACAGACGACCACGGAAAAATACGCCAGCACTGACCAGTATCCTCCATAATGTGCTATTAATAGATGGTACGATAAAATACGCCACAGTTTTGATAAAAATAAAATGACCACGAAAAAATTGCAAATTTCAAAGAAGGAAAATATTTTTACACAGTAAGACTACAATGATGGGAGTGGTTAGCGACTTTGACTAAAGGTCGCTGTAGCCAATTTCAAAAAATTACAATGGTAAAACAAATCTAAGATTTTTTCAAAACTTGTGTAATTTACTTTGTACTACTGTACATACCATTTTAAATACGATCTATAAAGTTCGTATTCGATTACATACGATATAGCTAAGCTCGGCAAATTAATGCCGTCCATTTCCGAAATCGCACGTCCAGCGGGGTAGGATCTACGGGCTACAGAACCTGTGCATCGATCGAGCGCGGGGGGGGGGGCAACCACGGGTGATAGTTTCATATGGCTCCAACAAAAGGAGGCCACAAGCACGGTAAGCTGCTCTCTCACTTGAGTATGGCGACGTTGAATGGTTATTATATCGTATGACTAAGACAATTGCTACACGTATTAGAACGAAACTTGCGGCGCAAGAGTAAGGGCGAGCTGAACTACATGTTTGCCACACTCGTCATCGAGAAGGACAACGACAGCGATGAAGACTTCGTTCTGGAAAGAATCGACGACGAAGACGAAGAGGAAAACCTTGAAAATTCGGATCCTGAACCAGGTAATATCTCCTACGAAATACTTTCTGCTGTATAATATTAACGCTAGACGCTCGATGACTGCCATGACAAACACGCACACAGAGAAGCAGCAAGAAAAATGCAAACCTTCCAAACTGCGAAAGCATCCAGCTGGTACATTATGCTAAAGTCGCTTTATCTTAAGGTTGTCGTATGTCTGTGGCTAACATGAACTTGGCTTGTTAGTTTCAGAAAAGACCAATGAGAGTGTCAAGAAAGGGCGCTTTTCGCCGCACGAGGTGCTGCCCTTGCTGAAGAAACACAAGGGGGAGAGTCGCGCGATTTTCTGCGCGGTGATGTCGTCGATGACAGTTGTGGAGCAAAGATAACTGAGCACGTGGAATACACGCCTCGGAAACGCACAAGCAAGCATGTTGAGGAGCTTGAGGGGATGGCGGTCAGTTGTGATAAAGTTGTGAAGGTCGTGGTTCCTTTTCCTTCTGTGGAGATTTCGAGCTGGGAAGAATTTAACAACGTCTTCAGTGATACAAGAGAAAAAATCATCTCAACTTTTGTGTGCACAGCTGTGGCGTACAATAGGTATGCACTAATTGATAGTATTTGCGTTTTTTCTATATTTATCTTTGTAACTTTATAATGCTTTCTGTACTACGCTGTAGCTCGCACGTCAAGCAGATGCCGACGGAGTTTGAGTGGACGCACAGGGTGTATCGGTGTACCCATGGCATAGCACAAGGATCGCGGTCAAAAGGTCACCGCAATCGCAAATCACGATACTGCGGTTACAAGGCGCGGTTTACACCAACGGTAACAGAGACAGTAGCCGGTGTGTACCGTATCATTATTAGAAATGAGGTACGGCAAAGCGACTTCAATTGTGCGTTTTTGCTATACTAATTTATTGCTGGTCTTAAATCAGGTACATACCCATTCTCATTTGACAACGCGTACTGGAGCGCTGTCGTATGTAACTACCAAAACGTTGCCGCTTGATGAGCAAGATCGTGAAGACGTGAAAACTCTAGCCGACACTCGTGTGTCCTCAAAACACATAACCAACTTTCTCAACGAACGAATCAGTGCGTATTGTATAGTTTCGATTTAATTTATTAACCCATTAACGATGTGTGATCGATTGCTGGCGTAGGCTGCATGGTAACGCCTCAGCAGACGCGAAATTCATACGTATCGACATGGGACAGGAATCCGCTGAAGGCGGATGAAGGATATGCTTCATGCGCTTCGCCAACTTGACGGTAGTGACGTACTGGTGATTCAAGATCAGATGAACGTGACGTGCGGCGTTGTGATGCAAACAAAGGTGCAGAAAATGAATGTTTAAGCAATGGGGAGAGTCGCTGGTGATGGACTTCACGCATGCAACAAATAATGCCGGCTACCAGTTGGGTACGCTCGCAATACTGCTCGCAATAATTATAGCTTCTTTAATTTTTCAGGCAAATATACCGCTTTATAGCAGTCATATTCACCATAAAGCAACCATTGATTAACTTTTAATTTGTTTTTTTCTGCACAGGGAGTCGTGTCGTCACTACCGCTACAGGTAGAGGCTTCCCCGTTGTCGACTTTATGTGTCTTAACCAGCAAGCAGTGGCAATTCCTACAATACTGGAGTATTTCAAAGAGAAGAATCCCTGCTGGCAGCAAGTAGAATCCGTGATGACTGATAAGGATTTTGTGGAGTGGCGTGTATTGAAGGAGTGCTTTCCAAGTGCGCAGATATTATTGTGTCAGTTTCACGCGATTGCTTACTGGAAGAAGGTGATGAAGCGTTCTGTGTATTACCTGAATGTTTCTCAACGTGAAGAGCTGCTGAACATGATGACAAACCTGCTCTACTGGTACGTAAGACTCTATATTGCATCCGCTAACCACTATACTAACCTTCTGAAATGGGAATCCACTAGCTCTTCCAAAACAGGTTACGACGACTGCTATGAGGAGTTGCGGCAGTACTGCAGGAGAAGCAAAAGGCCGTCAATATTTGCGTACTTCGACAAAAAATGGAATTCGTGTCGTGACATGTGGGCAAATTTCGCTCGTGGTGGGGTTTTCACTGCTGGAAATACCACCACTAACATAATTGAGTCCAATTGGAATCAAGTGAAAATGTTATTGGGACACAAAACTCGCATCGAAAACACGATTGCTTGTCTGTTGCAGCATCAAATGACTGTGACTCAGCAGATTGTGTTTTCAATCACGCTACAGTTCTTAACGACTCGTGTGCCCAGGACTATGCCAAGCGTTTTGAGAGCAGTTGCTGCTAGGTTGTCTCCAGCAATATTTGCAAAGTTGAAATCGGAGTGGAATGGTTTATTCTCATGAAAAAGGCAGATTGTGAAAGGGATCCAATAAGCGTCTCGTGTTGAAAGGTGCGTTGCCAGAACAAAATCTACAAGTGTCACGATGTTGATTGGACATGCACCTGCCTATTCTACCGCAGTCACCGCTTGCCCTGTCATCACCTAATGCACTTGGCACGAGATGGGCATCGTTTTGAAATTGTTCCATTCATTTCTGTTTACGGGCGCTGGAGTTTGAATGCTGCAACGCAAGTGAAAAATGAACTAGTGACTGCATCTTCTTCGTTGATGCGAATTGTGCGAATGACGAAGTTAAAGTCGCCGAAAGTAAAGTTGTATTACGCTCCTGATGATGATGTGCAAGGCGGCGACCAATGCATGGCTACCACATCGGCTAAGGACCCGAAACAAGTTGCATACGTGCACCTTCGTTGCCGGGAACTTGCAGACCAAGTCGTTCTATCTTCATCCGAAAAGTACGTGTACGCAAAAGCCATGCTGGAGCCTTTATTGGAACATCTTTCGAATCTATCTAGTGCTGATTTCCACCAACAGCTAAAAGCATGGAAGGAGACTGTGCCAATTGGCCTGAGTAAGGAGGCCTCAACGGACCGTACAGCATCTGAAAGTGACCATACCGACGGCAACAGTGGTAGTAAAGATTTTGATGTGGACCAGGATGATCTAATGGACGCTGTGCGAGTTATAGAAGCGAGAGAATATGCTATCTCTATTACGGACGAGTATATAAAGAAACAGGATTCATTTGATGCAGAAGACGAAGTTTCATCAACGCAACTGACACCCGACCACGAACTACCTCTGTATTCAAAACAAGTTCCTAGTACGGCGATCGCAGAATGTGTTGGCGAGGATGTGTCAAAGGCAAGCAGTACACATACTGAGAAAACTGCACGGCAGGTCGACATTGTCAATGTCCCAAAACCATCACGGAATGGTCGGCCAAGATCAACACCCAAGCAACTGAGACAAACTAAGCTTACTCCGACGTCGCGTCGCCTTGCTGTTCACAAATACCCTACGGGTCTTACTGTTTCACTGGGCCAGCTTCTAGTTTGGGCGCGTAATGCCTCGAATATCAAGTACGTGATGGAGTTACTGAACAAATACCCGGTCCAGCTGGAGGATTCTTACCTGAGGTCGCGCACAATTGTTTGTCAATGGGAAGCACGACGAACCAAGGTTTACATGCACCCATTTGTACTTCCGGTAGACATCACCCGTTCAATGCAGGCTGCGATAAGCGAAGCCAAAAATACACAGCATCAACCCCCTGAGCTGGACGAGAGTGTCAAGAATCAAGGCGTCCTACTCGATATTGTTGCTTCGATTGATCCGAAACTGTGGAAATTTAGCAGGTAAGGTTGCTTTAACATTATGGTTGCTACAATGGGGTTATTTTAGTATGGTTACTTTAACATAATTATGCTTTTAGCCAATTTGTGCACGCACTCACAGGATTCTACGCCGTTAAGGCCAAGGGGGGGGATGGCTGGAAGATCGCAAGAGGCTGGAGCAAAACTGGCGATGTGTTGAATCGGATGTCGACTTGTTCGCGAATGAGACGAAGACGGCAGGCATATCAGTCGATGCTATCTGTTCTCGTCACCAGGCGCTCGTGAACGAGGTTATTTCCAAGTTCACCTCTAGTCGTCTGCTCACCGAATTTAGAACACTCTCACGGAAAGCAATGATCCGCTTTGAGAATGTTGTGGGTGGGCTATGTTATGGGTGGCTTAATGACAGCCCAATCGAAAATTACTTGGAAACTATTGCAACTTCAGTGGGTAAGTGCTACGTGCTATCGTCTTTCTCGTGGCTGCTTGGGTGGCCGGCAACCCCGAGAAACTCGCTGCAAGACACCAATTTCATCGTCCACCCAGTGCATTTGAACGAGAATCACTGGGGGATCATTATTGTTGGTTTGCGCCGCAATGGTGCCAATGGAGCTACGATCCAGCTACATGCGCATGCTTACATGTATGAACCTCTTATTGACGACGAATATCATGACGAAATGGAGACAGTGTGGAATGGAATCTATAGTTTGGAGGAGAATGGCACCAAAACTAAGGTAAAAGAAGGGCTAGTGAACTTTGTAGAGCGGTGGCATTAGGCTTCAATGCCATGGAGCAAACTTGTTTTTGACCCCATTGAGTGGGTTGATGCCCCACAACAGCCCGACTTTGCTAGCTGTGGTGTCTTGGTTGTAGCCTAGGCACACAATTGCCTTACTGGAAACGTGGAACGGCAGAAGTACAACGTCTCAAAGAACGATGTGAAGGTAATGCGCTTACGGATGCTATGGATCATCATATGTAATTCGAATAAACGCAAAGCGCCCAATGCTACTGCTGATAAAGTAAGTAGGATCCATGAGAGCCTACAGGATGAGCTCAAGTAGGAAACCAGACCTGTATTAAAAATTCAATACAGCTGAACGTGCATGCTAAGCTTTCAGCCTGTTAATTGCCATCTCCAGCAACACTTCGAATGATAGAACGCCACTAAATTGAGATCCTCCGACTCCTAGACTTGCTGCTAGCTCGTAGCTGCGCTCTTCATCCTCTTCAATAGCAGCTTGAATCTCCAGTTGAACAGCCAATATCTTATCCAGATTCACTTGCACTCTTACTAGTTTTTTCTTCACATCGGCAAGGTGCTCCAGCCTAGCGCGAGCGAGCTCTCGTGTCAGCGTTTTCCCATCCATTCCGCAAGACCACAAGATCTTCAAGAAAGTCGCAAACTGTGCTTGTGTACGTGGTACACGCATTTTATGTGAAAAGTTGCTGTGATATACAATTAAGTGTAAAACACACGTATGTGACATGTGTATACTCTAAATTTAGATTCTGCGATAAAATATAGATTCTTTTCGCCTTGTAATTTAAAATATATTACTTGTACTGTGGTCGCTTTTATTATAGCTCTTCGGTCTGTTGTGTTGTCGTCAACAGATGTTCTTCTGGTTGCCGTACGTCATTCCTAGTAGGAATGGCGTAAGAATTTCCTACAATGATCGACAAAACAGTACAAAACCCAGACATCAGAAAGATCATCTTGAAACTATACTTACTTAAAATATGCATGAACTTTGTCTTGTGGACAAAGGCAGCTCTACGCAGCAAATACCTGCTATCCTACAACCATAATTACTTTTAAGTTGCAGATTAGGCTTTTACGAGGATTTATGAGGTGCAGATGCAAATACGATAGAGTCTATCATAGACTGGCGAAGCCTCCAAATCACAAAATGATCCTTATATCTTATGGCGCGATTTGCCGGTGTTACCGCCGCACTTTTGTAGTGGGTCACGATCATACCATATTATAGTGTTTGTCGG